AACACCTTCCTCTAGCTAGTTCTCTTATATAATGCAATTACCTAAATCTTCTAATATTATTTAACCCCATGCAGCAAATGAAATTAATGTGTATAGATAGTGTATCTAACCTTAGTTTTTTTTCCCTCTTCTTTTTTCTTTTTGTTTGTTAGTCGTGACCATTTTGTTTTGTTTTGTTACATATTGTAGTTATAAAAATTTGTAGCTGACGTTGATTTTCTTGTTAGCCACAGTAACAAAAGGTTGTATGACCAATTTCATTCTTTATCTTCTAGCTAGGTTACGACAACTTTATACTTCAAATCTCACTTTGTATAACTCCAATATATTTTACACTAATTTCTTTTTAGTCATGATGAGGAAATTCTGGATCGTTGTTCCTTTTTCTTCACTCGTTTAAGTTTCACTAACTACTTCAGTTATTGCCCGCTGTGTGACACACAATACCTCATCGGATGTACACCCAAATTTAGTTGTACTTTCACTCTTTCTGTATAATTACTAATCGATATTGCTTTTGACACTATCACTTGTAAGTTGGGTCGAAAGTTCGAGTTAGAATTATGATATGTTTTTTTAGGAAATTCAAAAACAAATGTGTTATTAATGTTTCTTCAAATTACTAATGTTTCTCTTTGACGTGATAGTTGGTTAATTACGCCAACAATTTCGAGTATTAATGGATAGATTTTAACGAGTGTGATAGATGTTTAGTATGCACATGATTTAGAAACAATTTTAAAGCATTAACCTAAATTGTTGTAATGATATACTTGATTCCCTGAATTCTGGATTAATATAACAGTCTTCTACCTTATACAATATATAAGCCCTAGTATTTGCAATTGTAACTTGTTCTTAAAAAAAGGGCTATTTTTTAAAATCCACGTCCAAGACCAATGTTTAAAAGTTATTCGAATATACAATAGTTAGGATTTTTTTTGACTAAAACATATATTTACTGAATAAATTAAATGATCGTAAATGTTACAATTATTTAGAAATTAAAATAAAAGTCTAGAGGAAGTATTAAGTCATTTATAGCCGAAAATAGATATTCATAACATTTAAAACTAAAACCCGGATGAAAATGAAAAATTAATAAAAAATTAGAAAAACTTCTGTATACTTTTAGGTCGACTTTGACAAATAGGCCGAAAAAACTCCAATTGAATTTTTTTTTTATCTGGCGTTTCTGCTATGGTTGTTTCTCGATTTCAACTTGAGCTTCAATCTTTTACCAAGTTTCAATTGAACATGTCCCAAATGAACCGTTTTGATAAGAATTAAGTTATATATAATGCAATAATCCTAAAACATTGTGACACTTGCATTTATAATCACATCATCTTTGCCTCTTCCTTTTCTTCTTTTTTAAACCAAATTCTTGATATTAAATTTGACATTTTTTGGTTGCTTCAGTCATATATATGTATTACTCTCTCGGTGAAATAAATAAAACATGTACTTGCCTTTAAAATGTCTCATTTTCATACATTTTTACGTGGAGTACACCATATATACATGTTCATAAATCATATATACATCTTCACGCAATTGAATGTTTTTACTAACATGATTAGAAATAATCCTCAGTTGTAAATAGTCATGTATACCTTGAAGTATTTTTTTTTTTTTCCTTTTTGTTACAAAAATGGAAGCAAAGGCCTATGTTTGGATATTTCTAGGATATGTGATCCTAATTACATCATATTTCAATCATGATATTATTTTCCGTGGTGAATCATCAAACCATTGTAATCCTCCAGTACCTTAAGCAGCTAATGATGCTAAACAATTTGCAGTAAAATTAACTTTCCAATAAATATGATTAAGGTCTACCGTCCAATCTTGCTTCAAAAGCTCGCGGATCCCGTATATTAATCCGGCATTAATACCCAATACTTCATCGCCCCCTTAGCCATGGAAATAATACTAAAGTTGTCAACCTCAACCATAATTTTATGCCACCCAAGCTCCCAAGCTAAATTTAGAGCTTGAAAAAGCTCCCACAACTCCGCTTTGGTAATAGTACAAAAGTCAATATTTATCGTAAACAAACCTAACCATCTCCCACAACAATCTCTCGTCGCAATGCCCGAAGCATTATTGAAAATTCCGTCAGAGTTAATTTTTAATCACTCTGCTGGCGGAGGTAAACACTGTATCATCCTTGTCTTCCACCCCAAAAGATCATCCCTCAATGCCTTGTCGCTCAAGCAGGCTTGTTTGATCCCACCTTGTCAATTTCTGCTACTCGTGTCACCACTCTGTGATCAACCCCTTCAAAAACAAACTGATTCCTCCAAGTCTAGAGTCTCTAGGAAGTGACACCAAAGTAGCGATCCCAATTATCAGCAAAACTGTCAAACTTTTTAGTCAAGTTCTCCCATATCCACTCCCCCAAAGGTAAGCTAAAAAACCATTACCCTTCTCTGTCCGGAATCAGACGATACCAAACTGCCTTTGCCACCAAACAATCATGGAGAACAAGGAGCACCGTCTCCCAATTAGCTCCATATAACTGACAACCCGCTGGTTCACTAATATGTCTTCAGTGGGGAATATATAGCGAACTTAATTCAGAAGGGAATTAATGAGGTGTTAGTTTCATGATAAAATCATCAATGTTCTTTGGAAGAAGTATTGAGTTTAGTTTACTATTAACATACAGTGAAAGTTGACTTTTCTTTTACTCATAAGCATATCTAAATGGTTTGTTATGACAAATCTATAAATACACACTCAATTTTATATCGGTCACCCAAGATTTGCCAAAGGCAACTTACCTTTTACTATAATTAACAGATTATTGCCGTGTGCATAGATTTGATTATTTCTGATGTAGTTCCCGATGTGACAAAAAAGAAAAACTTAATTCAATGCTATCAATCTTTTCAATACACATGCCAACATTGTGTGCGAGCAAAATGGTATGTTCTTTCTCATTGTACAGCAAAAAATTTATTTTTTCATGTAACAAATCACATAATAATTTATGAATTATATTAAATTAAATGAGCCATAAAATACTTAACTAGTGATATTTATGAGTAGTTATTAACAATTTGATATATATATATATATGTATATATATGAATTAGAAAAACAATTTCCATTATTTGCATAATGTATAGAACAATTACTTCCATTTTGAAATGAGGGTCTTTTAAATTATTAATGTTAGTACCAATTCTACTATAAATAAAAATTCATACTAGGTAATAATTTTGAGGCCGAAAAAACACCTATCATTAACATCAATACAATGAGAAAATGTGACAAGAGATATTATAACATTCAATAGTTTGGGTTTTGAGAGGAAACATTGTATATAAAAAAGTTGTAAGCGAAATCAACTTTTGCAATGTAGTAGTGACAAATAGTTTGAGTAATACTATATATCTCCAAAAAAATAATTCACACGGAGTTTCTTATATCCCATCCATCTCGAAATTATCGTCCAATTGGGATTTTTCATTTGTAGTACAATTTGAACTAAAACTGAAAATTCAAACTAGACAATAATTTTGAGACAGAAAGAATACTAGTTTTAATACAAATTTCAAAAATCAAAATGGACTTTTTTTTAAGACAGAAAGAGTATCATTTAAAAATTTAGCTAAACGTAGTTATTGTTGCGATATCACGCCTTTGTCTGCAAAAATTTTCTCAGATGATAGTTGTACATGTACCTCGTATAATATGATATCATAAGTTTATCAATTATTTATCAACTATGAACAAGTGTTATACATGTTTATAATATAATTGCAAGCCTTAATATAAAAGTGTTTGAGATGTAATAAGGAAGGGAGATTATAACATTAAGTCATTTAAAATAGTCATTAGATATTAGAATTGGTGAAAAAATAATATCCCTTCCGCAAAAAAAAAAAAAAGAAAAAAATACATTGAGTTTTTAAATTTATCCTAAAAATAGTACACATCTCAAAACTTTATTTAGACCATCTTTTTGGGTCAGAGGTAATAAAAATTTCAAAATTGAGACTCTAAAAAAGAGTTGGAGTAATATTATCTTTAATTATTTGGTTAACCTTAGTTATTATAATGACATCACGATTCACAACTTGGTCGTAATTTTTTCCCACTTACCAACTGTATATCACCACATTTACCATGATATTAGTATGTCGCTCGCGCTTAAAAACAAGAAATGATGACAGATATATTTAACATTTATCATTTCACAATTTTGTCGATAATTTATTTATTTTTCACGTTCTCGCCTGCCAACTATATATCATCTCGGTTATTATGATATCACAGTTCAGTCGGTCACGTGATATGGTTTTTGTTACTACGGATGCCACATGTCAGTCGGAAGACGACACATGTTCTTTATTTCACTGACCGATTCTAGAATAAATTTACCCATATTGCGTCACGTGTACTGAAACATTAAAAAATAGTAACGGATACTTACTAAAAAATACAACATTAAGTAAGTCTTTTATTCAAAATCTCATCCAGCTAATGGAGATTATATTCATTAATTTTCATAATCTAGATTATGAAAATCTAATTGGCATTAAATGTCACCAAGAAAAATCAATCAGTCGCATTAGTTGTTCTGATTTTTTCCCTTAAAAGTCATTTGTATTTTTGGTTAGTTTTCAGTGGCAAAAAAGGGAAAAAACGAAAAAAGGAGCCAAAAAGACCACCGTAGCCGTACTCGGCTACTCGCGACGTGGCACGTAACCGTCCCTCGCCTTCCCCAAAGAAAACCAAAAAAATTCAACACCTCCCCAAAACCTCCCACCAAAAACCCTAAATTAAATTTTGCCAAATTCCCAAAATCCCCAATTCATTTCCTCCCCAGTCTTTAAATTCCCCAAATTGAACTCACTCTTTTTTTTCCCTCATTCCTCATTCTCTGAATTCTCTGTCAAACTTAACTTGAACCAGGAAAGAAAACTGGTGGTGTTTTTTGAGTTTTGGGTGCATTGAATTTTTCTTTTTTTTTTTTTTTACTGTAAATGTCTTCTGGTTCGGGTGGCTACGCCGTGTCCCGGAGTCACGGCGGTGATAGGTTTTATAACCCACCGATGCGGCGGCAGCAGCAGCAGCAGCAGCAGACGGCGGTGTTGCAGCAGCAGCAGCAGCAACAGCAGTTGGTTCAGCTGCAGAGGGCCTCCAAGTCTGATTCCTCCGCCGTGACTGCGGCAGCAGGGGGAACCTCGGTGGAAGCTGGGAGCCGGACTGATTCTGATGATTCTGTGGCGGCATTATCCAGACCTTCGTCTGTTCGCTCTCCTTCACCTCCGATGCCACCGCCACCGCGTCCGGAGACCAACTTGACTAACTTGGATCGGTTTATGCTGGCGGTCACCCCAGTTGTTAATGCTTCTGAGGTGATGAAACCCCTTCTGCCCTTACCATTTCTCATGGTTTTCTGCAGCTAACGCAAAATAATTACTCTTGAGAAATTCGGTATGAGTCGTCATTTCAGTGCAGCTTGTTAAATTTTTGTTTTGCGTTGGAAATGACGTTTTGCTGTGAAAAGCCTTGTGGGACTGATGTGGCGAAACCCTTCTGAGTAGCTTTGTATATATATCTGTGTATCATTTTTTTTCCTGTGTGGATATATCATCAATCACTGCTATAATTCATTGTGATGATATCATTTCTCTATCATTACTGGTTTTGTGTTGGTTTCTAGTAGTTGTAAAGGCTGTTGAAATCTGTCCTAAGTTAATGTCAGTTATTGAAATAAGTTGGCCGAATTTGATGTCTGCTATAATAGCATTAAAGTGTGTGCTTAATTTTGTTCCGTTTGTTTCAGGGGCAGGTAAATGTGAGGAGACGGAGGTCTAGGGATCCCAAGTTGCAACCTTTTTATTGCCTTGGGGATCTGTGGGAGGGTTTTTATGAATGGAGTGTGTATGGAGTTGGAGTTCCGTTGTTGTTGAATGGAGGAGAGCATGTTAAACAATATTATGTCCCGTTCCTGTCTGGTATACAGCTTTACATAGACCCGTCAAAGCTACGCCTTAGGTGAGCATTAGTTGCCATGTTTTCTGTTGTTTCTACTGAATATTTGGAGTGTTACTTTGCATTTGTTAAGTATGAGTTTTTTTGTTTCCATTGGTTATGTTTCTTTGACATGATACGTACCCTAGTCGCTAGCATTTTTCCCCTAATTAAAATAACCTCAGCTCAGTTTCTTCGGTTTCTTAAGCAGCATATGTGCTCAGGAATTATTTGTTGTAAAGATTATGAAATAGAATGTGGCGCTTTTGTTTTTCCTTCCAGAAATTGTGGTGTGGATTTTGGGCTTCTATTGCTTATTTTTATTCTATATCCTGTGCACTTGAACTTGGAGTCTGCACTTTTTATTTTTCCTTTTATCTTTTGTTTTTTTTGGTTTTTTGTTTCCTCAAGTATGCTTAATGATTGACAATTGAGACAAATAAGTACTCAATTTTGGGATGGATTTAGCATTTCTAAGCTTTGAATTTTCTGATTTATCCTTTAACATAAAAAAATGTGGATCTTTGTACATGTTAAATGAAAGCTAAATCCTTTTTCAAATTTTAGAAGGAAAGAGTTCGATTCTTTGTAAGGCCCTGTGTATTGACATGCACACGCGCCTTAACCGACAACTTGTTTGATCAGTCATTTCTTGCCCTTCAAGTTTTGTCTCCCCTTAAGTTCTGATGATATTCAACTCGAAAGAGAGTAACATTATTTCTTAGTTAGGATTTGTCACCAATTGAGTTTCTATCTATTTAATCATGTGGGATGACTGCTGCTGGACATATCATTTCACACCCATTATCTTATGGTAATAGAAACACGTAGTGTCAAAGGGCATCTGCAGTACTTATCTGTGACAACATAATCATTCGTCGTAGAGAATGATAGGTGATTGATAGCCGACTATGCATGCCCAATTATTTGTCGTGGAAGATTGTTGGGATTTGGTGACATGTTGGTATTAACCCATGGAAAGTAAGTACAGTGAATAACCTTGTTATACAATCTGTATTGTGTAGGTTTTCAGATTTCTGCTATGTGCTGCTTGATACTAGATTCTTCTATCCCCCCTGTTTGTTTCTTATACGGCTTTTAGGGTTTATTTCATTCATTTAACCTTTATCTTTAAGAAAATCTACCAAATCAGTCCTTTCTTGCTGAGCTTGCAATCTGATATTTATTTACATGTAGCACATTGTTGTTGATTTTATGTATATGCTTAAGATTTTGATAACATACTATATGTCTCTGTTTTTTCCAATAGAATCTATCATCAACTAAATGCCCACATCTATTTTCATCAGGACTGGTGAGGAGAGCGACGCTGAGTCATTAAGGGAAACTAGTAGTGGTGGGAGCAGTGACTGTGAACCAGATAAGAGATCCAAATTTAATAAAGAGGGGTTGCGGAATCAGCAGAACACAACCAACTTGGACCCGCAGCGACTTAACAGGCTGTCATTAAAAGCGAACTCTGTTAAGAGTTCGTCTGGTGATGAAGCTGATATTTCTAGTTCACCTGGTTTACTCTTGTTTGAATTCATGGAGCAGGAGCAGCCACATTTTCGCAAACCATTAATTGATAAGGTTATCTGACTGCTTCAATACATTATTCCATTTCTTCTCTCCACTGCCTAACACTTGCTCCTTTGGTTCTTTTTTTATTCCTTGTTCACGCAGATTGCAATGCTTGCATCACAAAAACCCGAACTGAGAAAGTACAGGAGCTGCGATCTACTGCCTTCGAGTTGGATTTCTGTAGCTTGGTATGTATCTTTTCATTTGGAAGTGTACATCCTTATTCTTAAGTCTAAGTTTGTTAAAACTTTCCCTTCGTGCTCAAGAAAATAAACTTAATGCAGGTACCCAATATATAGAATACCCGTGGGTCCAACGCTAAGGGATCTGGATGTATCTTTTTTAACCTTTCATTATTTGTCAACACAAACTGGAGGTATTTTATTCTGTCTCTTCTCCTTCAATTCCAGTTTACTGCTCTTAGTTGTATCAGCGGCTGAATCTTTTTTCCTTAATGTTTGTCAGGTCTTAGCCAATTGAACCCCGTTGATGTAAATGCAAGAAAATTATACCCTTCTACTGATTGCTCGTCAGGCATCTCATTGCCCGTTTTTGGCATGGCTTCGTACAAATTAAAAAGTTCTCTTCTGAATCCCGTTGAACCTCAGGAAATCGAACAAGAGAATTCTCTCGTGCAAGCAGCTGGGGAATGGCTTCAGCGGTTGCAGGTTACTCTTCCCGATTTCCAGTTTTTCCGCGCTCATGCTCAGCGAAGAGTATGAAGCATGTAATCTCCCCACCTAATTTACCTTCCTAAGCGGGGGAGTCTGGGGTCAAACAAACATTTTTCGAGCACTAAATATTGTAACAATGCTCGCCTTTGTGGAATATGTTAACGATAATGGAATGGAGGGTGGTTTTTGGGGAGGGGAAGGGGGAGGGAAGACTTGAGGAGTAGTCATCTCATGCAAGAGTTGTTTAAAGTTGGTCGACTCAGCAGGGGAAGTGTGTCCAGCAGCAGATTTGGTTGGCAGTTTACAGTTTTAGATACAGGTTGTTTTAGGGCTAGTGTTTGGTCTTCTGGAAGGAATATCAGTCAGAAGGCAAAGTTGACAACAGGATCAGCTTATATCCCTCCTCTGGGGAGGGGCTAAGAAAGATACATATACAGAAATTCAGCTGCCATGTGTTTCATAAGGCAGTACTTAGGTAATTTGACAAACCCTATTGTCTTTGTTTTCTTCTTCTCCTTCTGAAAAGTTGTAAACTTCATTAGTTTGCACATAAACCATTATACCAGTTGTTTTGGTACAGTTATTGATGTCTTATTATCTTTTTGGAATAGGAGTAGGATTGATCACATGATCTGTTTCATGTTATATGCTAAAGAGCTTCTCTGTGCCTGAAACTAGTTTTGAAACACAACAAATAATAATTTTATAAAACTTCTTTTTTTTTTTTTAAATAAAAATAATTTTGTTTTATACCCCTTGCCTAGAGATTTTTCATTCTTTTCTAAAATAATTTTCAATCTTTAGTTTCCTTCTACAAATTTCAATCGCATCATCATCATCATCTTAAAACAATTACTTCCCACCAAACAACATATGATATTCAGTCTTAACCTTCTACCAATCTGTCTCATATCATTTCCAAAAACACTACTTGCCTCAACAAACTTATCTTTTTCATCCTTACCAAAGAAACTCCCCTTCCTTGGCACCCTTTTGGTGGATAATGAAGCTACTGATATCATTTTAGTATTCATCACAAAGGTAAAGAACCTTTGTTTTTGTTTTTTTTTCTCCGGGGACTAAGTTATAGGACCTCGCTCTACATGTCTATTTATTTGAAGCGAAATTTCTAAAAATGCGGATGACATTTTTAATATTTTTTAGCCAGCTCCACATACTAACCTTTTTTTCTTTCTATATTCCCTCTTTTGATTTGATTTGATACACTTCATACCAGAAATTTGAGTGCGCCAAACGACCCTTTCTCTCTCTGTGTTTTTTTTTTTCCTACTGTTTGGCGCCATTTAAGACGTCTGCTTTCTGAAAGTGTAAACCACTGTGAAACATTTGAGAATGACTTTTCCGTTTTCTCATGAAACAAAATTTTGAAGCTCCAACAGACTTATCGGATTTCTAAGTGAATCCATGAGTCAAATGAAATGCTGGAATACATGCATCTTATACATATCGGTTGCCTCTTGAGTTGATTGCCAACAACATGTCTGTATATAGAGAACCTCAGTATAGATCACTTAGCCAAACAAACCTTTATTCTGCTTAAAATCCAACTCCCAAGAACCATCAACTTCCATCCCAGGTTATAATTAACCTTTCTCCACCATGTCCCCCTTGTTTCAAAACAATTGTCTTAACCTTTACACTGTTGATTTCGATGTCATAAACAAAACATTTTGGACAGAAACTGAGATGGAACATCCATTTGGTAATTAATCTAAACTAGTTGCACAGAAATGTTAATTTTATACCACTTTCTTAATTTGTTTGTTATAAAGCCTTTTTGCTCTACTTTTGGGAATAATAGAGATGCTAAGTATATATGATCCATTTCATGTTTAATTTTCTACAAAAGTCTTGTTTCAGGTGGAACAAGTTTTGATTTACTTTTGTTTTGAAGTGGTCAGCTCCTAAGAATCAAAACATTCTACTATAAAACTATTAACCCTCCTTCTATCTTAAAATAATTATCCATTTTAAAATTTTCACTTTTAATATAATTTGAATTAAAAATAAAAATTCAATCTAGACACAATAGAAACAAACCAAGTCAAAGACCCACCCCCAATCAATCCTATCTGAATGATAGTAAAATGTTTCTCTTCTAAGTTCTAGGGGATAAAGAATCATCATTGGTAATCAAAACGCTCTGAACCCAAAGTTGAAGTTACTGACAACAAAAAAACAAAAAGAAAAGAAAAGAAACAAAACTATAATTTCGTAACTCAATTAGCCCCTGGTTGAGAGTTGAGACTGTAGTATGTGTAAGTTTAAAATTATTTTATGCAGTACTAGTTATTTTTTCACTACATAAACGAGATCAAGCTATTAGATTAAACTCGACATTAATTAATCAACTAGCCTGTATTATTCTGTTCCAAAAAAAAAATACTCTTTTTATTCCAAAATTATTGTCTAATTCAATTTTAGTATACTAGACAAGTATTTAAGGACAGATGAAGCAGTTCACATTAAATTTTAAAATTTGTAAAATAACTCCGGAAACTAATTTTTTTTTTTTTTTTCAAGACAAAGCAAGTAGAAACAGAGAAATGTTCTTCAACTGTCCAATTACAATAATTCTCAAAGTCATAGAATTTAATTTGATTGTCTAAATCAACCCAAAAGCCACGGCATGCAAAACTAAACCAAAGACAAATTATTCAAAAGATTTTCAGATTTGTATTCACATCATTTTCATTATTTTTTTTTGGATTTTTAGGAATCCTTATATCTCAAAATAAAAATAATTCCACATAAGTTCTTTGATGTGGGACATGAGGGTTTTTTTTTTTTTTTTTGTTTTGGTTTCTTTTGAACAAAGGACATGTTTCAAAAACAAAAAACAAAGGACATGAGAGTTGGGTTGTGTGAGCTTAGCTTAAAAGTTTGTTATTAGTTATTTTTTCGGTGTAATGCTAAGAGGCTAATTCATGAGAAAAATAATTAAACGATTATATTTCAAAATTATTAACGCAAAGTTTGGGATTCCATTATTAATGTCTGGAAAAGTCTTCTTTTTTAAGGTTATTTTCTTGTGCAAAATTTCATTCATCAAAGGAGAAAAGAGAAATGTTATGGTGCTAAATTTTGACATGACACGATAATAATACTCGGAAATTTGACAATTTAATAGTGGCTTAAGAGTACACGATATGATTATATCACAATTAACCTAACCATAAAATTATAAAGATTTTCAATACTCGTCTCGACCGACGAATGCGAAGCACTTCGACCGATTCCATTACCACCGCTAACGCATAATAGTATCGGAATTGGTTGACACTATACCGTCTACCAATATTTGGTGAGAACAAGTTCCATCCTAATACATAATGACTATATCACACGTCGTGAACCATAACAATATATTCTACTTTTATGATAACGAAATAATTGTTCTGTTTGAATTTTTATTTTTTTTTAAATAGTTATTTTTTCTTTTATTGTTCTTTTTGTTCCAAAATTATCATCTTCTATGAAATTTCACTTTTAGTGTAATTTGCGCAAATTATAAAAATCTAAACAACTGTAGTATTGCATTTTTATCACAACTGTAATTGTGATATAATTTGCGCAAATCATAAAAGTCATAATTATTTTGATGTAGATAGTAAAAGTCAGACACCAGGTACAACCCGACATGTGGTATGCATTTTTATTTCGAGCAACTGTAGTATTGCATTGATATTTTGTTAATGAAATCTAAGAAGCAAAACTTGACTATAAATTAATATTTTCTATTCCAAAATGATTGTTTAGTGTTTTAGTTTTATTTTTAGCACAAATTATATTAAAATTAAACTTCAATTGGACAATGATTTCAAGATAAAAGGAGTATGTTTTATTAGTGAAAAGTTTCAATTATGTCAATTTTCAATCATAGTCCCTCTGTTCTAGAAAATTAGTCCACGTTATACCAAAAGTTTATTGTGAATTTTTTTAAGACATATCAATTAGTTTGATTTTTATTTGTGGATCGCATATTCTTTGGAATCTGTAAACACTGAATTAGACGAATTAAGAGATGGTACTAAGTAATCAATTGCAAAAGTTTATGGTTTTTCATATCTTCTCGCATCTGTTGTTGGAGAAGTGTAAACTGTAAACTGTGAAGCATCTAACTTCTAAGAATGGCTTTTTCGTTTATTGATAAGAGAAGTTTAAACTTCAAACTTCTCGGAATTTCATAAGGATCCTTAACTATTGAAGCCGTTATGTTGTTTATTGAATTGGCAAGTAAAACTGCAGTTGAGAGATGAAAGAAGTTGATGGGCCAAAATATTGCAGTTGCTGCTCTAGCTAGCTTTCCTCTTGTTGAACTATCTTGCTGATTTGTTAGTTAACTAAATTATTCTAAAAAAGGTGGATAACGGAGTGAATGTATACATTCTTAATTACGGACAATTATTAAGTAAGATTCTATAATCTATTTCATATTTTGCTCAAAGATCTTATTTGTCCGAGAACAACCGATACAATCTTATACTCCCTCTGAAATCTCCAACAAAGCCGACTCTTGTTGGTCGAATTAAAACAACACCATTAACATGCATACTGCCTATGTCCTAAAATTATTATTCAGTTTGAGATTTTATTTTTAGAACAAATTAAACTAAACGTAAAAATCCAAACTGGACAATAACTTCGAGACGGAGCGAGCACTTATTTTAGAGGAAGCAAACATATTAATGGACCAATTTATTATACACCGTCCCAAAATTATTGTCTCGTTTAAGATTTCACTTTTAGTACAATATCTCAAACTGGACAATAATTTTAGGACGGAGGAGTATTATTTAATTTTTGTTGCTACAATAGAGAATAGACTAGTACGTAGAAATGGTCAGGTCAACTTACGGGTTCAGATGGACAAAGATGAAATAGGGAAAAACAACCCGAATAGTTACAAGATAAAACGTAAATAGTCATGAATCTCAAGTTGTTATTTGGTCAAATATAAAAGATCATTTAAGTTAACTATCCTATCAACTAAATATTTATAATTTTTCAAACAGATTAATCACTGTTAGTGACAGTAAACGTCACACTACATGTAAATTAGACTCTCATTTCGACGCTCTCAAAACACAGGTACTAATGCTATAAAATACCACACACATACTAATGTTAATATTGTTACATCTATTTTTGCGGATTATATTGATACTATATCAGATTCGAAACATGAATTTTCAGTTAAAGCAAATTTATAAAGAAAATCAGATTCTACAAATCCGAATTTTGATAAAATCGGATTTCACAAATCCGAATTTGCTAATACAACCGGATTCCACAAATCCGATTTTAGGAAAAAATCAGATTTTCAAAATCTGATGTAAAGGAAAATCCAGAATTCTGAAATCCGATTTTTGATTTAGGTCGGATTTTGTAAATCTGAGGTAAGGTTTACCTCAGATTTACAAAATCCGACCTAAATTGAAAAACGGATTTAAAAAATCCGATTTTTCCCTAAAATTGGATTTGTTGAATCCGTTTCAATCAACAAATTCAGATTTTTAATATCCGAGTTATGTTGAAAGTCGGATTCCCAAACTCCGATTTTATTTTATTATGTGTGATTTTGGAAGTCTAAATTTTTTTCTTCCATCACTGTGTTCCTAATGTTCCTTGTATTGGTATGAGCATTGAAAGATTTATAAATTTGAGATATCAGTATCAGTTTTACTTTTAAAACCCAGTCTATTTTTTTAGAAAAAAGTTCTGTTTAATGTCGGATTTAGCAAATCCGAACTTAGTCAAAACTAAACTAATTATTGTGTTTTATATTTATATGGATAAAAAATAGTTTTTTTTATTATTGTGATATATTTTGACTGGTTTGAAAATTAGTTTATCCCTTATTTATATAAAAAAAAAATCTTGGTGGAAGGACGGATTTTGAAAATCCGACCTTGTTTTTTTAAAAAAAAATAAAATTGAAGGGCGAGAAAATTTGAAAATCTGAAAATTTAATTGAAAATTTCAAAATATGATAAGAAGTGAACAGTGAAATCGGATTTTGAAATCCGAACTTGGTCAAAATTTTATTTTTGAGAAAAAAAACTTAATTTTTTTCGGATATTATTTTTTTATTTACGAAGATTGGATTTTAAAAATCCGATTTTCTTTTAATCTTGATTAAGTTAATTAATTTTTGTTATTAACATAAAATCGGATTTGTGAAATCTGATTTTAAGGCAAAATCGGATTTTGAAAATCCGATCTCGGTATTTTTCTCTTCTCCAAAATTTAACCTATATTTCTCTCTACTCCTTTTTTTGAACCATTTTTTAACTCAAAAACTCCGTTCCACTCGAGATGTTCTCCATTTCCTGAATGGTCACCCTATATGTCAAGAATGAGTCATTTCTCCAATTAATTAATATGTGTGTGTTTAACAAAGAAATCTATTTCATAGACCCCTCACTAATATTGGCCATTAAGTTGACCACCATTGTCATTACTCCGATTGAAACTGAAATTAAAAAAAATCTATAAATAAAATACAATCAGATTATCATCATGAATTACAAATTATTATACTGAAATCGAAATTGACACTAAACAAAGAGTACACGAATATTATAGGTAGTCACATTGTTCTTAACAGCTTATTATAGCAGTCTCGTATATTTCATTCACGCCAGAACTCTACATCGTGGAATTTATATTCCAAATAGTGAACTCTAATCATCAACATTAACATACCCAGTTTATTCCTAGCAAAGTTGATGTCTGGGGAAGCCAGATGTATGCACTCTTACTTTTATAATCATATAAAGAGGTTGTTTTAATTACAACCCAACATACACTGCGTCATTTGAAATATTGATTTTCAATAACTTCACTAACAGAAGAAGCACTGAGATTTAACAGAATTACTTTGATTTTGTCTATTGTTAGCACATAACTAAAGTAATTGTCAATGATGATTCTTCCGGCTCCATTAGCAATGGACATACATGCTGAACTTTAATGTAAGGAGGAAATTATTTCTGTCCGTTCATCCATTAAAAAGTTGGTTTTTTTTTTTAATGGAAGCAATGTGTTGCATATGTTAGTTAATACGGAGGACTTCATCCATTCACATGAAAATTAAGACCCTTGAAACCGAATTATAATGTTCTTCTCATATACGATACATGTTAACACTCCAAAACCATCTAAAACCAAGTCGCGTTCTCTCAATTCGAATTAAAGTACATAAAACCGACTGAATAAACTAAAAGAAATAATCCGTACATAAAACGCGACCCATACTTCAACTGAAACAAAATAAACCATAATGAGGAAAGAGACACATTCAAAAGCTAGAGGCTAGTAAGTAGCTTCTTTCCAATAAGGTAGCAATTGTAAGCATCATGAACGGTGTATTCGACTTCTTCCTTGCTGAAAACAATGGCACCCCAGTCAGAGGGTGGGGGTGAAATCGTTTCATCAACCTCTTGTATCTCGACTCCAATACGCCTTCCCAAATTAATAAGCCCCAGACAGTAACGCAATGATGGATCCTTAAGAACGCAAGCAGCAAAATCATGAATATCAACTCCATATCTGGTCAAATCGCCCGCCTTGCTTGTTTTACACAAGCTGTGATGATGATATTTCAGACATTCAAGATGGTAATCGATCTTGATTCCCACAAAACAGATGTTTTCATCATTGAGAAAACGAGCCAGGCTCGAGGGAAAGCTGCGATCCAGTTGAATGATTAAGCAACGAGTTTCAACATACAATGCAAGTAAACTGGGAACCCATTCGTTATCAGCAGGCACGAACCCATCATAATCTTTCCCAATTGGTGCATTCCTACCAAACTTGCAATCAACTCCCACAACTGGAAAATCAGTGGTCATCAGAGAGTTTTTCAGTTCTGATAATTCGTTTTCCACTACTTCATCATGTTTCGCCAGTGTTGCCTTGACCTTTACTCCGTTGATATCGATATCATAAACAAACATTCTCAACAAGAATTGCAATGGAATGTCCATTGATGATTAGACTAACCCTTTTTTTGAATTATGATATATCCCTTTTAATCTAAATAAGAATTGAAACCCTTATGATGAATGTTGTTATAAAACATGTATTTCCTTCAGAGGGTTTAATTACAAGAGAATTTCAGCAAGGAGAGAAGAAGAGATTTCATGAAAAGGGAAAAGAACTGAGAATTTTGAGAAGGGAATGCTCTCCATAATCATCCTCAACGTGCTTATAAATGTGCATAGGAGGACCTGAGGAAATTTCCTGTCAGCTTCCAACGGATTACAGTAATATATAGTGATAAAATGTGATAGATTACAGTAATCTTTGCCCTGATTTTAAAAAATAATTAAACTTCAAAACCAGCTAGGCGTGACATACTCTTGACATACTTATAATCTTACAGTAATCTTATAGTGGTAAAATGTGATAGATTACAGTAATCTTTGCCCTAATTTAAAAAGTAATTAAAGTCCAAAACCAGCTGGGCATGACATACTCATGACATAATAAAAATCTTATACTGTTCTACATGCTTTGTTGTTGTTGTTGTTTTCTTTTTTTTTTCTTAGGTTTGGGGGTTTAGTTTTGTGAGTGAAGATACATCTCATCCTAAATAAAATTATTACATGTATTGGTATGAATTATTTTACTAATGAGTAGCAAACCCATGGTATTTCATCGAAGTTATTTCAATATCTTAATATTATTTGAATTGACGTACCTATATGTCTTTTTCTCCAATCAAGATGCGTGTTTCAATAGAGAAGTTTAGAGCTGTCCAACCCAACTTGAAATTAATCCTCCCTAATATTACCCATTATAGACTGTACATTGTCTTTACTAAAATTGAAACTGGAACTAAAACAAATAAATTATCATACATAAAACACGATAGGATTGTTATGCATATTCCGAATTACTGTACTGAAATCGAAACTGAAACGAAATGAACGAATATGCCATTACAGGGAGACACATCCATTCAGAATCTAATTATTATAAATATGTTATTTTTGCAGGATGGTTTGATGATCTCATGAATAAGTGAACTAACTAGCTAGAGCATGGCAAGCAGCTTCTTTCCAACATGGTAGCAACAATAGCATCCTGAATGGCATATTTCATTTCTTTCTTCGTGAAAACAATGGCATCCCAGTCTGTAGGTGACATTTTTTTATCATAGGGTTACATCTCAAATCCAATTTCCAATGCCAATTCAGAAATAACCAAATATGGACTTATCGATGGATCCTTAAGAACAATAGAAGCCAATATAAATGGGCATACGATGTATAGTGCAACAAACCAAATATGGAGAATGTATATAAGAGATAAGTGTAACTTGTGACGGTCATCACTTGCCGAGTTTTCCAATATCTTACTACCCTAAGCAAACCATGTACCCTAATATAGAACAATTCCACCTTACCAAGTTTTGATCTCATTCATCACTTCCAATGCTCGTGAATGTTGTAAGGCAAAATGAACCAAAAAGTTCGATGGTTGTAAACTGTAAACAAGTTCAAATTTCAAATTATGTTGGAAACTCACCAAGATGATAAATGGTATTGTTCATTGTACGATTAAGCTTATCAAGTGTGCGGTCTTTTCTTTTATTTTATTTTTTTTTGTTTTTTTGCTTTCATTTAAGCATCAAAATTTTAATGCATATCAAAGGGCCAATTGCTCTCCAATATGGACAAATTGCACACTTAGAAGGTTAAAAATTATGGATAAATGATAAGATCCAAGGAAATTTATTAGAAAAACCAAGAAAATCTCAACTAGCACCAGGTACAAGGATGAAAAACGTAGTAACAACTACCAAAACTACAACAAACAACATTAATCTCTCTTAATTAAACACTTGAAGGCGGCAGGATCTTTGCTTTTTACATAGTTAGCACTTGATTCCTTGAGGCCAACGCCAAAATACAAGAAAGTAGGATCAGTGGCTCCATCCTTGTAGTAAGCAAACACCAAGGAGCTATCATCTGCCATGCTCTCCCCAACAAAGAATTGGAGGTCTTTGATCTTCGAGAGCAAGAATTTGGTGGCGGCCTCGACGTTCTTCTTAAACAGTTCTTGCTTCTCTTCATCCAGCTTGGGCGTCAACAACTTGACGTACTTCTTCATGTATGCCACAAACTGCTTCTTGTCAAACAGAGGCTGCTCCTGAAGCCTAAAGGTGTCGACAATGTCGACAACCTTCACGGCCTGATCGTCGACGCCTTCATCTTCCTCCCCGCCTTCTGCAGAGGGGTTAGCACCAATGTCCACCTTAGGGCTCCTTGCACTACCCACTTTCCCTCAACTTCCCACAGGATCCCATTCTCAATCTCCTTGTACGCAAACGAGTCTGATAGAAGCTCGTCGCCGGTGAGTAAATCCTGATAGACCAACATGATTATGGCACAAACTAGATCTTGAAGCTAGGCGCAAAGGGATCTGTTAATAGAAAGAAAGTGTATAATTATTTCTTGTGAAAGCGATGAGAAAATTATGACGAGGAACCGTCTTTATATAGACATGGTCTTTATATAAATACAGTACCAATAGATCAAAATCTCTTCTTCTGATTACTTCTTCGCTAAGAGAATTATTTATTTATTTATTTTTTAATCCCCTTACCTCTTCAGTTCTTTCTGTTGGTTGATTTCGTTTTTAAACTCCTTCACAAATAAACCTTTTCATCAATCACCGTCAAACTGATTCAGCTAATGGATGCTCAGAAAAGCGATTTTGGCAGGGAAATTCTGTTCTCCCTGATTTTAGCCGACAACCTTTGAGAATTGGACAGCAATTGGCAATGGCAATTCTTGGGGGCTACCTGAATTGTTTCGCGCCTGCTGATGTATTCATTTAGTAGCCTATTAGCGGATCTAACAAACCAAGTAGGCAGAATGTTATTTCCTTAATTACTTAGATTGATTATTAACTGCCATTGTGCCTTAGTTTTTCTTCGGACTAACGTCACTTCAGCTAAATAGTAAGCGATGCTGAACTTAATATAAGGTGGAAATTATTTCTATCCATTCATCCATTGCAAAGTTTTATTTTTATTTTATTTATGGACTCCATCCATTCATAAACACTCATGTTTATTTCAAAAGCCTCGCGAATGTTACGTGAAAATTATGACCCTTAAAACCGAATTGTTATTATCTTCTCATTTTATACATAGTATTAACACTACAAAACCATCCCAAAACCGAGTTGCTGCAGAGGACACTGACTCGAATTAAAGCAGATAACCCGACTGACAGAACTAAAACAAATAAACCATACATTAATCACGGCCCGGTAAATAACCGTACACTGAAACTGAAACAAAATAAACCATAATGGGGAAAGAGACACCCACTCAGAATCTGATGATCTAATCGGCAACTTAAGCTAGAGTATAAAGCAGCTTCTTTCCAATACAGTAGCAACTGTGAGCGTCCTGAATGGCATATTTGATTTCTTCCTCGGTGAAAACAATGGCGCCCCAGTCAGGAGGGGATGCAGTCGATTCATCAGTGTCTTGTATCTCAAATTCAATGCGCCTTGCTAAATCACTAAGCTCGGGACAGTAAAGCAATGATCGATTCTTAAGAACACAAGCAGCCAATTCTTGAATATCGGCTCCATATCTGGTCAAATCACCCGCCTTACTTGAAATACACAAGCTCCGATGATGTTCTTTCAGAGATTTGAGATGGTAATCGATCTTGATTCCAACAAAGCAAATGCTTTCATCATTGAGAAAACGAGCAAGACTCAAGGGAAACAAGTGATCCAGTTGAATGATTAAGCAACGACCTTTAACGTACAATACAAGTAAACTAGGCAACCATTCGGTTCTATCAGGCGCGGACCCATCAAAATCTCTCCCAAATGTTGAACGCCTACTAAACTTGAAATCAACTCCCACAACTGGAAAATCAGTGTGCATCAGAGACTTTTTTAGTTCTGATAATTCTTTTTCCACAATTTCATCTTGTTTCGCCAGTGTTGCCTTGACCTTTACTCCGTTGATTTCGGTATCATAAACATACATTCTGGACAGGAATCGCCATGGAATATCCATTGACTATTCGACCAATCCTTCTTGATTTATATGTTCTTTTATCCAAATAATTGAAACCCTTCCGATGATTTTGCAAAAACAACAAACCCTGGTGGCGTATGAAAGTTTAGAGATGTTATATGGACTATATAGAGAGCACCGAGCACCCCCTCTTGTTAGGATCCGATTCAAAAGTGGAAAGTGGAAACTACTACGCCTTCAGAAGTTTTAGGAAATTCGGGTTTACGAGGAGATCAATAGAAAAACTCCAAGTATTAGGAAATTTAATTAACAATTCAACCCTATTTCCATATGGAAAAGGAAAAAGAAGTGGGTTCTATAAATACAATACCAATGAACCTGCTTCTTACCATCGATCAAAACTTCTTCTTTTGGTTACTTTTCCGCGAGAAGGCTTCTCTTTTTCCCCCTTACCAAATAGATTCTCTCTGTTGCTTGATTTCATCGTTATTAATAACTCCTTCACAAATAAACCTTTTCATCGATCATCAGCAAACTAATCGAGCTGCTGATGGAAAACCCAGATACGTTACCGGTAGTATTCTTGCCTTCTTTGTTAATTATCTTGCTGCTGGTTTCCATCAGCAGCTCGATTAGTTTGCTGATGATCGATGAAAAGGTTTATTTGTGAAGGAGTTATTAATAACGATGAAATCAAGCAACAGAGAGAATCTATTTGGTAAGGGGGAAAAAGTGAAGCCTTCTCGCGGAAAAGTAACCAAAAGAAGAAGTTTTGATCGATGGTAAGAAGCAGGTTCATTGGTATTGTATTTATAGAACCCACTTCTTTTTCCTTTTCCATATGGAAATAGGGTTGAATTGTTAATTAAATTTCCTAATACTTGGAGTTTTTCTATTGATCTCCTCGTAAACCCGAATTTCCTAAAACTTCTGAAGGCGTAGTAGTTTCCACTTTCCACTTTTGAATCGGATCCTAACAAGAGGGGGTGCTCGGTGCTCTCTATATATAGTCCATATAACATCTCTAAACTTTCATACGCCACCAGGGTTTGTTGTTTTTGCAAAATCATCGGAAGGGTTTCAATTATTTGGATAAAAGAACATATAAATCAAGAAGGGTTGGTCGAATAGTCAATGGATATTCCATGGCGATTCCTGTCCAGAATGTATGTTTATGATACCGAAATCAACGGAGTAAAGGTCAAGGCAACACTGGCGAAACAAGATGAAATTGTGGAAAAAGAATTATCAGAACTAAAAAAGTCTCTGATGCACACTGATTTTCCAGTTGTGGGAGTTGATTTCAAGTTTAGTAGGCGTTCAACATTTGGGAGAGATTTTGATGGGTCCGCGCCTGATAGAACCGAATGGTTGCCTAGTTTACTTGTATTGTACGTTAAAGGTCGTTGCTTAATCATTCAACTGGATCACTTGTTTCCCTTGAGTCTTGCTCGTTTTCTCAATGATGAAAGCATTTGCTTTGTTGGAATCAAGATCGATTACCATCTCAAATCTCTGAAAGAACATCATCGGAGCTTGTGTATTTCAAGTAAGGCGGGTGATTTGACCAGATATGGAGCCGATATTCAAGAATTGGCTGCTTGTGTTCTTAAGAATCGATCATTGCTTTACTGTCCCGAGCTTAGTGATTTAGCAAGGCGCATTGGATTTGAGATACAAGGCATTGATGAATCGACTGCATCCCCTCCTGACTGGGGCGCCATTGTTTTCACCGAGGAAGAAATCAAATATGCCATTCAGGACGCTCACAGTTGCTACTGTATTGGAAAGAAGCTGCTTTATACTCTAGCTTAAGTTGCCGATTAGATCATTAGATTCTGAGTGGGTGTCTCTTTCCCCATTATGGTTTATTTTGTTTCAGTTTCAGTGTAATTTTTATTTGTTTTACTTCATTCAGTCGGTTTATATGCTTTAATTCGAGTCCAGTGTCTTCTGCACTTAGTTTTCATGAGACCAACGCAACTCGGTTTTTGATGGTTTTGGAGCGTTACTGTTATGTATATAATGAGAAGATAATGACAGTTAGGTTTTAAGGGTCTTAATTTTCACGTAACATTCGCAAGGCTCGCGAAATAAACATGTCGTATTCATATGAATGGATGAAATCCTCCTTATTAACTATACAACAAACTCCCAAAAAGAAAACAAACTTTGCAATGGACGAATGCATAGAAATAATTTCCGCCTTATATCAAGTTCAGCATTTGGAACATAAATTATGCTGTACAGCGTTCTGGCTTGAATGAAAATACGAGACTATATAATAAGCTGCTAGGAACCAGACACGATGCCAGCCTGCCTATCACTCCTCCTAAACTAAACGAACATCACTTACTACTTAGCTGAAGTGACACTAGTCCGAAGAAAAGCAAAGGCACAATGGCAGTTAATAATCATATTGCAATCTAAGTAAGGGAATAGCATTCTGCCTACTTGGTTTGTTAGATCCGCTAATAGGCTAAATAAATACATCAGCAGGCACGAACCAATTCAGGTAGCCCCCAGGAAATGCCAGTGCCAGTTGCTGTCCAGTTCTCAAAGGTTATCCTCAAAAATCAGGGAGAACAGAATTTCCTTGACAAAATCGCTTTTCTGAGCATTGTCTTCATTCTTTTCTGGGATAGAAGGCACTTCAATGCTTTGGCTGCAACTATTTTTCAAATGAATTATAGTAATCAGAATCCTTCTGGAAGGCAGTAGATTGGAGTAAATAAGGCTATTTACTGTCAGTGTTTATAGTTTTACACACGCAACATGAAAAACCATCAAGCAAATATGTCCATGACGAATTAACAGAAGGAAGACATAACAGAAGAAGAGTGCTTGAAATTGACATGCTGAAGTTAATTAGCATCCACCACAAATACTTTCTTTCAACTGAGCCTTTATCATTGGCTATCAAGGGCACAGGAAACTATTATCTAGGAGTCTTACCAACTCAGTCAAAAGGGATCAAACTATACATAGCATACAAGTTAACTAACCAGGTCAAAAGAGATCAAAGTTTGTATATAGCATACAAACCTACAAGGCATCAATCAGAACCTACTAAAACTGCAAAACTATAAGTCTATTAAATGTTAAGTGCCTACCTTTCTGAATTGCACTCTGGTGAACTGTTCCTTGTTAAGCTTGCTTCACTTGAAGGGCGAGCTTTTTCAGATTTCACACATAACATCGGACGGTAGCAAAATGGTAGAAAGAGAGAATCACTTTCCACCACAGCAGAGGATTTCACAGGAGAGGAACCCTTTGAAGATGTTTGCAAACATTCATCCTGTAAAGCTTTCTTTAAGAAGGGTAGGGCTGAACGGGATCCACCATCACGGATCTTCTTTTTGCAAAGCATGTAGGACCAGGTCAAGGTAACAAAATAGTGCAAGACATGTTCAATGGTAACTTTATTTTCTAGCAAAAAAGTAAAGATAACTAGAAAGATACATATAAAAGGGTCGATGCTCAAGTGTATAAAATATCCATATGTTAGCAATACATTGCAAACTAAATCATGGTATGACTTAACAGAATGGAAACCAAGGAAAAAATATGAAGGATATCTTCAAGATATTCTCGTGCTTTGTAATAAGGTGTACCGTCATACCAACATCCACATTTGCCACACAAACCGGACAAATCTGAAAAAACAAATCGCATGATCACTTAATCAGAAGCATGATAAATTTCAATTTACTAAGCAACGGGAAAAAGCACAACGCCTAATTGCTGGTATACATAATTTAGAAACTTAAAGATGTATTCAACGGCCAAAAAGTTAGAGCTTTGCAACAGGATAGGCTGATGACTAATCAACAAGCCAAGTTTAACAAGAAACAAAACTAGCCCTAACAGTGGTTGATCAATAATAATTATCGAAGAGTTGCAAGCATGTAGCACCGTTTGATCAATCATCATCAACAAAATTAGTTATGACTCCAACGATGGAAAAGTTTAAACTTTGGTAAGTATCAAAGGGGTTCCAATTTCTAACAAGTGAACACAAATTCGAAACTTCTAACAGCTCATGGTGCAGTTGATCATCCTCAATCCCGTTCAAAAAAATCAGAACTTTAAAATGACTAAAAAAACAGATGCTAAAAACCTTAAAAAACCAGATTATATGTACACATGAATACATGATCATGAGAAAGCAGAGAAGGATGGTTTACCGCGGCCTTAGCCTCCTTGTGATGCGCCACATCAATATGGCAACATAATCCCAGAACATCAAAATCCTCGCTACAAAAAGGGCACCCTAATCCACAATCTTTATCCTCCTCTTCCTCCTCCTCATCATCATCATCATCAAAATCAACAGCATTATCACTATATTCATCTACTTCTTCTTCATCATCAACCTTCTCAGCACGTTTCCCTGCTTCAACATTGTACATCAAATCAAACCCACCAAAAAAGAAAACAGATAAGAGAAAAAAGAGCACGCTATAGAAACTAACCACAAGGCGGCGGCTTTGAAGCGTTAAAAGCCTCAATATCGCTAAGTACCATATTCCCAGTTTGTTTCCCGGATATTTACACTAAATATACGTTAAATTAAAGAGACTGGTATTCAGTAATGGGGCCACAGGCCACCAGTCATTGATTCATAATTTATCAATCACATTGGTCCTTTTCCAAAATTCCTCCAATCCCACCAATTATTAGGAGTATTTTCGGCGTAATACAGCAGCCCACTTGGGTTTCCGGCGGCGGAAATAGGCGGCGACGTCGGGGGGATCACCGGGCATAAACCTCTCTCCGGCGGGTCGATCAGGGGCAAGAATCTTGGCAGCAGGAGGGTCCGATTGCCGGCAGGGGCTTCTCCTTTTTTTTATTCTTTTGTTTATTGTCTCGACCTATTTGTTCTGGGAGTCGTCGCCAATTGGGCTCCCGCGTTTATGCGTCTCACGATCGGTTTTTGGTCGGTGAGGGATCATATTGGGCCTCGACTTACAAGCCCGTTTCCTTAAATCTCAATTCCCAAATAGCTTCAAAAATCACAATTTCCCGTGAGGATTTTTTTGTTTTTTTTTTTTTTTTATTGACCTGCAGAGTTAATAGCTTGGACTTGCATATCATCATGAATAAGTTTTACAGAAAATTGTTGTTATCGAAAATACTCTATCTATCCGTCCAAAAAAAATATTTTGTTCAACTAAAACACTATGACGAACAAAAATATTTTATTATTATTATTTCAGACGGAAGGAATACAAGTTTTTCTAATATTGCTACTATTTAACTATATTCTATGTTACCTAACTTTTTTTATAAAATAGTATCATCTAACAATTAAAATGAATTGAACCTAAATTTAATTTGACGCGAAAGAAAGAAAACACAAGAATAAAGAAGAAACTAACACAAACTTTTTTTTTCCCCATATTACGTACATTGTATTCATCACGGACTACAGTGGCAAATGTATTTTGTGAGTTGTTAGAAATTTTCATAGGTGATAAAGTAAGTTATTTTGTATAATTTTTACCCCTCTGTCCCAAATTATTATCCATTTTGATATTTTACTTTTAGTATAATTTGTACTAAAAATGAAAACCCAAACTGGACAATAATTATGGGACGGAGGGAATATATACAAGCACATAAGTTGATGGCAGAATACAGTGAAGACTTGTTATATATATTTTGCTTTGTTTTCTTTTGTAAATGTTTTGAAATTTTCCATCTATCCCATAAAATTTTTCTTTAAGTGTTAGTTAAGGTTGGATTTCTACAGTTGGTTCTTTTCTTTTTTTCCCTGATCATAGTTTTTTCGCTGCTTGATTTAGTTGCATTGATTATTGAAAATGAAGTTAAAGATGACATTTTTATTGTTTTACTTTCTTAATCTAAAGCTAGAATCGACATTCTTACCAATGTGACATGTTTTTTTTTTTTTGCAAAAAAAGAAAAGAAAAGATAAAACATATGCTTAGTTCATATCCTTTGTAATAGTGACAAAGTTATTCGAAGACAATAGTCAAAATGAATTTCTGTATCCCTGCAATTCTGAGGATAGATATTTTTTTGTCTTTAGGAACATTCACTTATTATTATTAAGTAAACCCGAGGCTAGAAAATGAGTAAGAAAGGGGTTGGATTGCCTTTGATTAATGTTATCAACTTTTGTAGCAAAATAATTTAGTGATTGTAGCATCATCAAATTCTAGAATGTTCAACCTCTTTTTTAACGGTTCAATAATTTAAAAGAATAGTAAAAACACGAAATAGTCTGTGTTATTTTATTCAGTTCTAAACGTACTCTGCCACTCAATTAAATATCTCAGCTACGGTTTTTTTAAAAAAAAAATGTAAAAATAAAAATCAAGATTACAAGGCCAGTTAATAAGTAACAAGTTAAAAAATTTGTAACAAAACGTATAGCAATCTAGGAGGCATATATTTCGAACGGGTTAGTTGAGAGAAAAACTGGCTTCCCCTATCCTAGTAAATTCTGTTGTTTGTTACTCTCCCCAAAAACCAAAAAAAAAAAAAAAAACCAACAACACCACCAAGAACACAGCTAGCAAAAACATCCACTTCAATCTTTTCTGTTATTTTAGTCTTTTAAACTCAACAATGAAATCAAATACTTTCTCACTTTAGTCTCTTCCCTATCACTCGCTCAAATTATTAATCACCAAAATTTAGCCAACTCAAAAAACTGCGGTGGCGGCGCTCAAAGTATATAGGATGAGCGCAAATACTTTGTTTCCAACAACGTTAAATTGATCGATCAATCATCATGAAGGGAGTCAAGGTTGATGAATCGTTTCCATCGGGTTTGAGGGTTCTTGTTGTTGATGCTGATCAAACAAGTCTATTGCAGTTAGAACCCCTTCTCTTGGCTTGCAATTACCAAGGTTAGTTTTTTTCGCAATTCATGATCAACCCTTTTTCGTATAGGTTAGAACTAAATTGTTTGGATTAATCATGACATTTCGTTAATTTTCTTTGAACTGTGGGTTAAGTCACCATATGTCACGAGGCAAGCCACGCTTTGTCGCTTCTTCGCGAGAACAAAGGTTTATTCGACATTGTGATCAGTGAAGTACACTTGCCCGGAGGAATAAATGGCGTTCAGCTCCTTGGAATTATGAACGAGTTGCGACTAAATTTGCCCGTTGTTAGTAAGTATTTTGAATTCTGTGAATTTCTTATAAATGTCTTTAATATTCTTAATTAATCTCATATATGATCGATCGATTTTCTTTATTTTTTGTTAGTGATATCACAAGATAATAGAAGAGATGTGGTGATGAAGGTTATCGTAGACGGGGCTTGTGATTACTTGATTAAGCCTGCCCGGATACAAGAAATCCAAGTTATATGGCAACATGTGGTTCGAAAGAGAACAAACTTGTTCAAGTCGTCACATATGCTACCAGAACTTCAGCACTGCGGGAATGATATAAAAGATCCACAAAAGTTTGAGAATGTTAACGATAAAAAAGAATGTCCGATGTTGCAGTTAATAGAGAAAGACAACAAGGACAACAACGAGAAAGGAGAAATCGCGGTGGATCACCGAAAAGTCGGTAAAGAAGTAACCACAACAGCCTCGGTTAAGAAGCCGCGGATGGTTTGGACTCCTGAGCTCCATAATCAATTTGTTGTTGTCCTAAATCAAGTTGGCCTGAAAAGTATGTGCACGTTCTCAAACCTAGTGGGATTTTTTTTTTGTTAATTTTGATCATGTGTACATTTTTTTAAAAGATTTACCTTCACGATTTCAGATGCTGTTCCCAAAAAAATCTTGGAGCTTATGAATGTTCCTGGGCTTTCAAGGGAAAATGTTGCTAGCCATCTCCAGGTAAAATTAATCAAATCTTCGTTTTACTAAATTGAAATATTTGTTTCTTCTTCATTTTCATTTTTCCCTTTTTGAGTAGGCATTTGATACATCTTGATAAATACCGTTAAAGGCTACTTTGAAACTCAAAAACACAAATCGAACTAAAACACGAAAGAAATGAATGGTTTTAGCTAACTTTGTGTGTTAATTTTACACTCTCGACTTCTATTTTTGTACAAGTTTATCGGTGTTTTATATTGTGATGTGATTATATTTGTGGTCTTTTAGAAATATCGTTTGCATCTCCGAAGGAAAAATATGAGCGCACAAAACAAATCGAAAGTTGCAAGACTAACTTACCAAAACAATGTTGTTACAAATGATTGTCCGAGGGTCGATCACTCCAACTCAGATGCTTATTATGCCAACCTAAAACAACTCGATCAATCCCAATATTCAGTATTTTCTGAGGTTGATTCGGAGACAAATATGAGCATTCTGGCCGAAGGTACTCCACTCAATCAACAGGGAAGTTATTACCCTAACGAAGGAGTAAGTTTTGGCGAAGCCATTCATCAACCAAGTCAAGAATCGTGGTGTTATGACCCGCCAGCAATGATCATCAACTCTGCATTTTCACATAGTGACCATGAACCTATACCAGCGGGTGCCAACCCAGATCAAGTAAAATTGATTTATTCCTTTCTTTTATTATAATTGTTTTTTATATTAATGAGCAATGTTGATAGATATGAAAATCATTGCAGGATAATTTGATTATAATGCAAAGATTACAAGAGAACTCGTTCAAAATTGAGATGACAGATGATTTAACTCGTGATGCTTCTGCCCTGATGAACCCAGACGATCATATGAATAATGCCAGTGCCACATATGTCTCGCTTTCAGTTCCTTCGACAATAAGCTCCATCGAAGATGAAACTGATACCCAAAATGCATCTAGTTTCATCCTCAATATTGGGGATCCTTCTGGATACGAATACTATTCCAACTATGATCCTAGATATTATCCATGTTGAACAATGTAATCATAGGTGTCAAGCTAGTTTAGCATTTTGTTTAGTTCATGAATAGTAGGTTTGTGTTAGTCAATGGATGGTTAATTGTACAGCGAAAGCAGAATAATGCTACTTGACCAAATAAAAGCAAACAAAAGTTTAGATTTTATGAAATTGATAGCAAAAGTTTACAAACTAATAATTAGAACCCGAACAAATTTATGTCTCAGTGAATATATATATATATATATATATATATATATATATATGTAGAAACACATAGACATCGAGTTTAACTTGCAGGTTAGAAGTGATATAGATTTGGTGATTATATTTTATATATATATATATATATATATACTTATATTGTAAGACAAGAATTAACGTTTCATTGGCTTCACTAGTAAGTAATTTCCAATGAGGTGATGTATTACAGTTACTTTTTTTTTTTTTTGGTTGAAAATTGAGCAAAACATATACAGTATTACCAATGAGACATATACAGTATTATCAATGAGATAATGTAATGTAGTAATGTACAATTTGTACACTATATAGGTATCAAGTATAAGATCAACATAATATATTATATGCACCAAATATGCTTTTTAACCCGCAGTTGTCTACACCCTAATTAGGCTTTTAAGTAGAACTAGCTCAAATTCAACGTAAAAGAACCTAGTAAACCTTGAGAAATTTTAAACCGGACTCTTTTACACCCCAATCAAGCCTCCTTTTTTTTTTTTTAGGAAACAAATCATGGCTCAATCGTTAAGACCTTCCAGTCTTGAGTCATAAATGCAATGTGAAACTGATGTAAATGTCTTGAAGCCATGCTAGGTGAATGTAGATGTCTTGAAATAGAAATGTGGAATGTATCTTATGGATTACACATAGTATTGGGAATAGAGTGCACACAAAATAGACTGTTCAAATGCAGTAGAATGTTTACAAAGTGGAAGTAGTATAAGTCGCAACAATGTTTTTGGGTATGGTAGGATTCTGCTTACTCAAAATTGGCTAGTACTCCCTATTGTCCAGTTTGATATTTCACTTTTAGTACAATTTGAACTAGAAATGAAAACCCAAACTGGACAATAATTATAGGACGGAGGGAATAGCTTTTAGTCATATTTGCTGAAATAGGGGAAACCGTTAACTAAGTTTAGAATCTCTTATCTGAGGAGATGTTTATTGACAATATGCCAACTAAAACATAGAAATTGTTCAATCAGAGAAATAGGAGAAATGGTTAACTAAATTTAAAATCTCTTATTATATGAAAGGATGTTTATTGGCAATATGCTAAAAAAAAAAAATTAAAAAAAAAGTTCATTACACTTGCTGGAAATCAAGATGAATAATAACTCCTAAAAGATAAAAATAACTACAGCTTTAGTATCTTCTCAATATTCTTAGGATCTTTCTCATTAATCAGTTCATCACTGTTGTCAATTGTATTAAGATTTTGAAATTTTGTGATTGTGTTTGTTTTTCTCCTCTCAAAAACAAAAATGGCAATATACCAACCAAAACGTAGAAATTGTTAAATCAGAGAAATTAAACCGTCACCGCCTTTAGATCGATATTTTACTCATTTTGTAATCAAAGGCATTTGCTCTGTAACAGTTAACGGAAAAAAAAAAAGAAAAAAAAAAGGCATTTCTATTTTATTATTTATGGAAAAGACGAAGTAATAGTAATAATAAAGAGAAGATTGCATGCATCACCTTATTTTAATGGACCGTTGGGAAAAAGTTCATAACTCAATAATAAGTTTCTGCTGCTTTTTTCCATTATTAGATCGTTATAAGATTTTGATTTCCTTTTGGAAGAGAACAATCTTTTTTAATCTTTAATTAATTCAGCCCCTTTGACTTTTCCGACATCTCAAAAAAAAAAAAAAACGGACATCCAACAGATGCCGTCTGATTTCTCCTATCTAACGGTCCTGATCCTTCGACCGTTGTGTTCGAAATCCCACCTTTCCCTTTCTGTCCGAAACCCCCAAAAGATTTCAAATTTAAACCATACTTTCCTCAGCTTTCTTCTTATTCTTCAGATCTCACAATAATTCTCTTCTTCTTCTTCTTCTTCTTCTTCAGCTTCCGAGAGAATTTCCCTCATCTCCTTTCTTGCTTACCATGATTTTCTTTTTCAGAACCTTGTTTTGACGGAGAATTTTGTCAATTTCTTCTTCCCCTTTTCGAATTTCTAGGTTAAAATAGATCTTTAAAAAAGCAAGAAAAATGGTGAAAATGGGGGCTGACCCATCATCATCGTCTCCGGTGACTATCACCGTCACTACTTCAGGTGGGAGTCACGGTGGCGTTCCGTTGACTAGTCCAATTCGGCGTCATTCCTTGTCGAAGACCCAAAACTCACCACTAAGTAATGGCGCCGGAAACCGTCAAGCTTCCTCAAGCAGTGGAGGAAGGTACCTTTCCTTCCCACAAGAAACCACAGAGGAGTTTGTGGCTTACACTGTGCATATTCCTCCAACCCCAGATAATCGGATTGTGTCCGAATCGTCTCAGAGTATTCCTCCTTTCGAAAGCAGGAAAAGCAGGGGAGAAAATGGAAATCCCAGTTTTGGGTTTGTTAAAGATACGATTTTTACTGGAGGGTATAATGCTGTGACACGAGCTCATGTGAGGAAGATCTCATCTACGGTGGAGGGAGAAGTGGAGGAGGAGGAAATGGCAGCGGTGAAATCGATGATGGCGTGTGAAGTGAATGGCTGCGATGAGATGGCTACTTTGGAGCTCCAGTGTGAATGTGGGTTCAGGATTTGTGCTGATTGTTATGTTGATTGTGTTGAAAATGGTACCGGTTCGTGCCCGGGTTGCAAAGAGCCGATTAAGGGAGATGTTGTTGATGAGGAGATAATGGAGGAGAAGCCGATGAGAATCAGGTCAAAAGGGAAAATCAGAATGGCGAAGAACCTGTCTATGGTTCAGTCTATGAAGAATCCGACTCGGTCTTTTAAGAATCCAAATCAGGATTTTGATCATGCACAATGGCTGTTTGAGACTAAAGGAACTTATGGATATGGGAATGCTGTTTGGCCGAGAGAAGACTATGGTTCTGGAATGGGAAATGAAAACCCTCATTACAACAATCCGCCTGATTTTACTGACAGGAGAAACAAGCCACTCACCAGAAAACTCGGAATTTCCACTGCAATAATCAGTCCCTACAGGTAAAGATTTATCTGTGATTTCCCTTTTTAGGACTTCTTAAATAAGTACTTTGTTTTTGGCATATGTTTTCATGATTGTGCAATTAAGGTTTTACTTTTGTAATTTTGATGAGGATATTTATATAGGTGCATCTCTCTGTTCAAACTGTATGTTTCTCTTGTAAAATTAGATTCAGATTTTTGGGATATTTCTGTTTTAGTTAGATTGAAACTGAGTTTGAACCTGGTTTATGTTTTTGTTTCTTTCTTTGCTTGGGCATATGTAGATTGCTTATGATTCTTCGACTGGGTGCGCTGGCCTGTTTCCTGACATGGAGGGTTTCACATCCTAATCATGAAGCCATGTGGCTTTGGATAATGTCTGTAGTTTGTGAATTTTGGTTTGCTCTGTCTTGGCTTCTGGATCAGCTACCTAAGCTTTGTCCTGTGAAAAGAGTGACTGATTTATCAGTCCTGAAACAGAGATTTGAATCATCTGACCCCAATCTGAATAATCCTAAAGCCCTCTCCGACCTTCCTGGGATCGATGTGTTTGTTTCCACAGCTGATGCAGACAAAGAGCCACCACTTGTCACTGCAAACACCATTCTTTCAATCCTTTCTGTTGACTATCCTGTTGAAAAGGTGGCATGTTATCTGTCTGATGATGGTGGTTCCCTAGTAACATTTGAAGCCCTGGCTGAGGCTGCGAGTTTCGCAAAAACTTGGGTCCCTTTTTGTAGGAAGCACAACATTGAACCTCGGAATCCCGAGGCTTACTTTAACCAAAAGAGTGATCCTTTGAAGAACAAAGTGAAACTTGATTTTGTCAGGGACAGAAGAAGAGTAAAGAGAGAGTATGATGAATTTAAAGTGAGGATTAATGCCTTGCCAGAGTCAATCAGGAGAAGATCGGATGCTTACAATGCTCAAGCAGAACTTTTGGCCAGGAGGAAACAGCTTGAACTTGGTACAGAAGCCATTAAGGTCCCAAAGGCAACTTGGATGTCTGATCGATGTCATTGGCCAGGAACTTGGTCATCAGCAGAAGAAGGTCATTCAAGAGGTGATCATGAAGGCATTATTCAGGTAGATGATTTTGTCTTCTTCTCTAATATGATCTGTATAGCCTGAATATTGTGATAACATTGTTGTTAGTGATAACTCATTGAAAACGTTTTCTTCCTTTGTCTCAGATGATGTTGATGCCACCAAATTCTGAACCTGTTTTTGGAAGTGACGATTGCGATGACTTAATTAACACATCAGATGTTGACATCCGTTTGCCTATGCTGGTTTATGTTTCTCGTGAGAAGCGCCCTGGTTTTGATCACAACAAGAAAGCTGGAGCCATGAACGCCTTAGTCCGTGCCAGTGCAATTATGTCAAATGGTGCTTTCATTCTTAATCTGGACTGTGATCACTACATCTACAACTCCTCGGCCATCAGGGAGGGAATGTGTTTCATGCTAGATCGGGGTGGTGATCGAATATGTTATGTTCAATTCCCTCAGAGGTTTGAAGGAATTGATCCTAATGATCGATATGCAAACCACAATACCGTGTTCTTTGATGTTACCATGAGAGCTCTTGATGGATTACAAGGACCAATGTACGTTGGAACAGGCTGCATTTTTAGGCGAATTGCGCTCTATGGTTTCAGTCCACCTAGAGCTACAGAACATAGGGGATGGTTTGGCAGTCAGAAAATAAAAACGCTCCTGCGAAAGAAATCATCCAAGTTGCAGCAAAAGGACGACGCAGAGATGCTTTTACCTATCATGGGTGATGAAAGTGCTGATGATGAGTTCACCAAGGCAACACTTACGAAACAATTTGGCAATTCATCTTCCCTGGTGGACTCCATTGCAATAGCTGAATTTGGGGGAAGACTTCTTCATGAATTGAGAGGAAAGGGTTGTCAGGGAAGGCCTGCTGGTTCTCTTGCTGTGCAGCGTGAGCCCTTAGATGCTGCAGCCTTAGCTGAGGCAGTGAGTGTAGTAACTTGCTTCTATGAGGATAAAACTGAGTGGGGGAAAAGGGTTGGATGGATATATGGTTCTATCACAGAAGATGTTGTTACAGGTTACCGAATGCATAACCGAGGTTGGAGATCGGTATACTGTGTCACAAAAAGAGATGCTTTCAGAGGTACTGCCCCAATAAACTTGACAGACAGGCTCGTTCAGGTCCTCAGGTGGGCAACTGGCTCAGTTGAAATTTTCTTCTCCCGGAACAATGCCTTGTTTGCCAGTCCGAAAATGAAGTTCTTGCAGAGAGTGGCATATTTCAATGTCGGAATGTACCCTTTCACATCTATATTCCTCATGGTTTACTGCCTCTTGCCAGCTCTCTCATTGTTTTCAGGTAAGTTCATCGTCCAATCCCTGAATGTCACATTTCTAGTGTTCCTGCTGGCTATCACCACTACACTTTGCATGCTTGCATTGCTGGAAATCAAATGGTCTGGGATCACTCTCCATGATTGGTGGAGAAACGAGCAATTCTGGCTGATTGGAGGCACAAGTGCACATCCAGCAGCTGTAATTCAGGGGTTGCTGAAAGTCATAGCCGGAATTGACATCTCATTCACTTTAACATCCAAATCATCAGCACCTGATGATGAAGAGGACGAGTTCGCCGAGCTTTACGAATTCAGGTGGACAGCATTGATGGTTCCTCCCATAACAATCATACTGATCAACCTTGTGGCGATTGCCGTGGCAGTTTCAAGGACCCTGTACAGTCCATTCCCGCAGTGGAGCAAGTTACTTGGAGGGGTTTTCTTCAGCCTGTGGGTTCTGTCACATCTCTATCCTTTTGCTAAAGGCCTAATGGGAAGAAGAGGAAAGATTCCCACCATTGTTTTCCTCTGGTCTGGGCTGATCTGCATTGTTCTTTCCTTGATAGCTGTGTATGTATATCCACCTTCAGGAAGACAACAGGGCGATGGTTTCAGGTTCGAGTTTCCCTAGTAGTGTCTGGCTGCTGTTTTCGGACAAAGAAAAGAGTTGCCTTATTCTCGGCAGCTCAGAAGTTTCATGTTTTGTCTGTTGTTAGTTGTTTCTGGTTTGCTCTACCATTTTTAGTCTAGTCTGTCTTTTCTTTGTTCTTAGCTAATTAAGACATAAGTTTTACATTTTTCAGTTCATTTTGTCTTGTGTACAATTCAAGATATGACTTCAAGTATTAATATTCAGTACTTAGATATTCATAAATCATAACTGAGCACAATAATGCTTTCAAATTCATCCATCCCAACTCTTAAAAAGGGAAGTTCTTGATGATACAATGTCCTACAAATGGAATACTGTTCTTGATCATCCAAAATATATTTGGCAATTGTACCCATTGGACTCAATCTCAATGTCAGAAACTAGTCCTAAAATGAAAAACTCACTAGCAAAATCACAACATCTCTAGTAATTACCAATCTGAAAATGTCTTTTTCAACAGACAAATGGGTAGCCAATGGGGCAGATTCCAAATAGGAGGAATCGAAAATGGGGGGGCCGCCAATGGGGATTTGAAGATATGCTGTTTATTACATGTTTTATTATTCTTTTTCAGTTTTGACATATTGTTGAGGTGAAGGAACGATTGGTCACTCTCAAAACAGCTCATTGCTGCTATTAACTACAAAACCGTTTTTTTTTTTTTTCCAGCCTGTAAAGATTATTTGAGGCAAAAACGTCGGTCTCTCAGCTCATCTTCCTTCCCCCCATTGGACCTACACCTAAGGAAAAAAAAAAACACACACACACACACACACACAAAGTAATAACAGTAAGCTTCAAATTTTAGCTGATTCTGCTGCACTTATTATTGTTATTCCTTCCCATTATCATCTCACATGGCACAAAGAGGAACCCTCCAACATGTAAAAGTTTCATATAGAATTTTGTTCATTGTTGTGTCCCAAATACCCCACTCAAAAAGTATAAAAACAATTACATTTCCCCACCCCCAACCTCCCTTTCCACCTCTTCTTAGTATTGCTTTCTTTTGATTGATTCTAATTGGTGTAACGTTGTTTTGATTTTATATTATTGTTCCATTTCTCTATGGATTTTCAATACCTTTTTGAGCTTGCAAAGCTAAATTTAGGTACCCATTTTCCAAGCTATAGATTTATTAAAAGAGTTCGGGTTGGGGAGACCATCCACATGAATAACCTAACTCAATGGCTTTTGGCAATTGGCATTATTTTTCTGTATGTGAGAGTTCTAGAACCCTCCACTCAAATATAGTGGTACATTTGACATGGTATGATAACAAAAATTACAAAATGGCCAGCTTATGTTTTTATTAGGATCATGACAGCTAGGCTGTAAAGGCATCCAGCCTTTCCAAGGAGATAAATCTCCTTTATTTCATTCAAAATAAATAAATAAATAAAATCAGAATAACCTCATGACTAGGTCAGTTTGCACTTGGTCATTATCCCCTAAAAAACAAGAAATTTCTGCAATTACAAAAGACATGCATACACATTTGTGAACACACCAATTAAAAAAGACACAGTGAGTAAAACACTAATAAACGGTTTGGTTAGAGCCAAAAAAAATTAAAAAAAAAAAAAAAAGGTCACTTTAACGAGAACTTGGAAAAGGTCATTCACTAAGATTTGATGAACCAATAGAAAAGCGGAAAATGTCGCGTCGCCGTTAAAAAAGCAAGAATTATCATTGCATTTTCTCACAAACCCAATAGAAAAGCGGCAAGAAACCACAATTGATAAACACAAAACACGAATTAACCAGAAATAGTTTCGTCGGCAACAAAGAATCACAGATCGTCAGCGATGGCGAAACACACACACACACACACACGTATAATACTGGAATGATCCACCCAAAGTCTCCAAAGCCAGCAATGACTAAAAATTGATTGATTTGATAATCAATCTGCCAGCAAAAGAAGCAAATTGGGCACGTGTGGTGCCAGGGCATAAGGAATCGGTCCCCCATCTTTTTTTCTTCTTTTTTTCTTTTGGGTTTTTGGACATCTTGTACGCAACGTTGACAGAAAGAAGTGTTTTTTGTCTCTAATAATAATAATACCCATAATGATCTCATCATTACTATTATGATTACCATCAATAATTAATGAAATTACTGTTACTACCCAGTTATTATTATTTATTAGTATTACCAAGTCTCAATTTATCATCAAATATATTTATTGCTGTATTATCTTCTTCTGTAGAGATACTACTAGATAGATTGGGAAGTTAGAACAACCGAAAATTAGAAGAGATCATAAGAAATTCGAAAAGAAAAATTAAAAAGGATATTCCCAAATAAACACCCAAAAAAACTCACATGAAAATGACATCCCGCCGCCGTCACCAATGAACATCAAAAAAATCCCCACCGACACTTCCACCACCACCACCTCCACCGCCCTCAACCGCCATTCACATATACCGGAATCTATAGCCATTGCCACCCTACCTAACATAACCGCCGGCACTGAGCTGAATGCTTGTCCCGTCCGTTACACTTATCTTCTTCTGCCCCCACCAAAAAACTTTTCAAACATCAGATTTTGATCAATTCCCTTTTCATTTCAAGATAGTGGGGGGAAAAAGGTTATCAAACGGCTTCTTAAACACTCTTAATCCATCAACCAATCAAAGCCATTTTGCAAAAATGCTTTCCCCTCCGGCCACTTCACTCTCCAGCTGCTTCGATTCATTCCGGTAATGGCACCCACATAGAGAAACACAAAACAGAAAATAAGGGATTGAGAGCAAATAGAACCATTAAAACTAACAAGTATCCATATGTTGTTCTATATCATTCATTCCAAAACATATAAATCTGAGAATCTATCAAAATTACAGCTCATACAACAGAGGAAGAACTGAAAAAGTTTCTTATTTTCACACGGGCAAAACCGAAATGTAAACTACTACTAATCATCATTGAAATAAAGCCCAAAAGTGGAATCAAACAAATCTGTGGGAAAAAAAAATGTGTCCTTTATGATACAGTAAAATCTGGCGAATGAATGAACAATGGGGGAAAAAAAATAAAAAGAGAAAATCGAGAAATTTTTTACCGGAGCTATCAAAAAATTTATAAATTTCTGCAAATTTCACGAGGATTGCCGGTCGTAAAGATCGTAGGGGGCCCACAGGGTGTCGAGTGGACAATGCCGTTTGGAGTCAAGGCGGAGCCACGGCTTCCCACTGCCACTCCAGTGGAGAAGGCTGACCGGTCCGGGATGAAGATCCCGGCAGCTTCCTCTGACATTGTCTCCGCCCAAGCCGTGCTGGTTCCATCTGTGTTCAATGGGAGCCACCCGTCCGGCGAACACCAGCAAGAACGGCGGCAAGGAACCCAGCTCGTAGATCCGATTCATCTTCTGGATCTCCATCCACCTCTCAATCTGTTTGGTGTACCCGAACCGCCTCCATTTCACTAGATCCATCACCATGACCCCGGTGTTGAAGTAGCAAGCATTCCGGCGGCTGAATGTGCCGGAGAATTTCCGGTCCGACCAGAAAGATGCGGTGAAGTACTTCGTGAAGTTGGCGTGACAATACTCCGGAGCCCCGATGGTCTTCGTCCCCAAACTCGTATACCAAAGCTTGGAAATGTCATCGACCACGACAAGATCAGAGTCCAAGTAGATAACCCGGCGAACACAGGGCTCCAAGAGGTCGGCCAAGTAATTCCGGGCGTAATTCAGCGGCTGTTCCAGGGCTTGCCGGACGGAAGTAGAGATCAGGCTCCGGACCCGCTCCGGATCGAAGTAATAAACCTTGAACTTGAGCTGCGGGAAGGTGGACCGGACAAGGGCTTCAAGGCCAGTGTCGGAGACCAAGAAATGGAAGAAGACGTTGTCGGGACACATGGAGTGCTGGAGGATGGAATGGACGGCTGCGATTGAACCGCGTACATACTCCAAGTCGAGAGTAATCGCCACGTGGACCAAAGAAGGGTGGCAAACTCCGGTATCCTCCACTGCCGCCGCCGCCGCCGACGACCAATCGGAATTGAAATTATTCAGACGGCACTCATCGGCATTGCGAAATAAAGGGGCTTTCCGGAAAGACAAAGGGTTCCTTTCGCCAAAATCGGAAACGGAAGATCTAATTGCTTCCGCCGGCGGGGAGGACTGTAAAGAAGGGGACAAAACTATAACCGCAGCAATGGAGAAAAACCAAGAAAATCTGGTAATCCAAAACATCTTCCACTTCCTCCTACTGGACCAAATATCGGGTCTTCTCCTCGTCGGCGTCCTCCTTTTCCCTTTCAGGAACGATGATAGCAGCCCAAAACGCTTCAATAACCGACAAAACGACAGAGATGATGAAGGGAAGAGAAACTCCTGGTTGGTTCCTCCTATGTCCGCCAGTGTTCTAATTCTAACCCAACACAAAACGAAAAATCAATAATAATTTACAACAAATGAATAATTGTTCTAGAATCCTAGTAGTAACCCACCAAAACAAAATTACTTCTATTTTTTTTTTTTTTGGGTTTTTAATTTTTCCCCTCTCTTATTATCTCTCTCTTCTGAAGGAGGGGGGAAGGAGTAGGAATGGACATGGCGATTGGCAGTGAAGGAGAGAAATAGGAGAGAGGGAATCACAAATCAAATCATGGAGGCCGTACTGAAATGAGAAAATGTGCAGACGTGCTTTGCAGTTTCTGTGTTTTTTTCCCTTTTCTTTGATTTTTGGGATTAAGGGTTTGGCTCTTTGTTGTTTGGAGAAGGTGAAGCAAAGAAAAAAGAAAAAAAAAAACAGAGAAAAAAAAACACGCACTCACACAGTGAGTTTAACAGTTGTATTAATTTTTGTTTTTCTTGTTTTTCCAAATTTTAGAGAGAGAGAAGAGAGAGAATAAGAATGCACAGATTCTCTCTATGAGACTATGACTCTATCTGTTGTTTGCTTTGCCAGGAGCGGAGTAGGAGAGAGATAAGCATGGCGATAAGACAATTGTTTCCCCTTCTCCCCTTTTTCTTTTTTTCTTTTCGTTTAATTGTTAATTGCAAATATTTAGCATATTTGTTCTCTTAAAAAAAAAATTCTTTTAATGTAATCACGACGTTTCAAAAAAAAAAGAGGTAATTTTCATTAATATAGTTATTTAAATAAAATTATATGATATACAAATGTTATTTAATGTAAAAAAGTACTAAAATTTTGAGCAATGTCAACTAAATTTAACCAAGTTGTACTCTAGTCATTCTGAAATACTTGTCTAATTTATATTCTAAATTTTTCGTTCAAATTATAACTAAAAGTAAAAAATCCAAATTAAACAATAATCTTGGAACAGAGATAGTACAACGGATTGTGATCAGACTACGAAAAGCACATACACAATGAAAATTTTACCTCATCCAGCACTATACCTCAAATATAATGGCAGCCTTTCTCAATTCTCATCAAATTTAGGTAAATTCTCTAATCAATCAAAACAATTCCATAAGGAATCCAAGTTGAAAAGCAAGAGGTAAGAAGGAAACAACTTCCACATCCCAATGTGATGTTCGGAGCAGAAAACAGAGTTGGTTCTAATCCATTGAAAAGAATAGTTGGGTGACGATAATGGATGGGTGTGGGGAGTTTGTTAAAACCCTCTCAAATGGAACACTCAAATAGGGAGATTCTTTTGTAACCACTAAACATTTTGTACTTTTCTTAAGAAATGTGACACAGTGAATGATGCATTCCAAATATGTACACAAAGTTACCTATCGTGCAATTGTACTAATTAAAAAAATTTTTTTTTGTTAAAGTCAAAACCAACTAGTAATTAATGCAGCGAGTAGAAACTAGTCTTTAGAATTCAAATATTTTGTATCTTACCGCACTTTTAAAATCATGCAATTGACAAATGTTATTGTTTTTTTTTTCAGGAAAACCGGAATATATTAAGAATTACTGGAAATGGTCCAGCACCAGTTGAGATACAAAGTTAGGAGTGTTACTCCATAAGGTTTCAACAGAATCAGATTGTTTTGCGAATTTAGCAAATGAGTGAGCAATAGCATTTTCCGGGCGAGGAATCCATTGTAAATGTTTAACTGGCAACACAGCACGCAAATTGATGATGTCTTCAAGTATTGGCTGGCAAGAAAGAGGGTCATCTGTATCTTGATTTGCTGCTAAGACAATAAGTTGAGAATCGCCCCGGATAATGACATTTAAAAGACCCAACCTTTGACACAACAACAAGCTTTCTCTCAATGCAAGGGTTTCAGCAATATCGGAATCTAACACCCCAGGGAATTGAAGCGCTAAACCATGTAGAAATCTACCAGCACGTGAGCAAATGAATACTCCAGCACCAGCGCAGACTTTCGATGAGGAAATAGCCCCAGCAAAATAGACTTGGATGACTGAATCATCGATCTGAAATACTGATGGTAAGATTGATAAAACAGATGCACAGCGTTCCAGATTCAGCATTGAGGCTGAGTAATCAGCAAGCATTCTACTTGATTATAAGACCACTGACCATGAGGTTGTGTGCTCCTGCTCAAACAGTACATGATTTGGGCTTGCCATATACCATCTAGTAACGCAAAACAGAATTCAAGTTCAGGAGATTTGAGGCAAAGCAGCAAAGCACGAGCCTAGAGATCACAAAGGCGGACGTTGCAGCGACTGAATTTTGTTGTACAGTCCATAAATTCTAGGAACCTGAATAGCAAAGGGGCACCTGAAGAAGAGGTGAGTGCTGCATTCGTCTATCTGGTTGCACAGTGGGCAGTGAAGATCCACTTCTATTTGTCTTGATCTGAGATTCACCATGGTAGGGAGAGCATTCCTACAGAGACGCCAGGAAAATATAAGTAATCTGCCAAGAAGTTTCATTCGCCAGGGTTTTCTCCAGAGAGGATCACGGACTCCAAGAAGCAGTGGATCCCGATTTGCTGTCAAATGATTAAACTGAGGGGAAGACAGGAGCTGGTGATATGCAGATCGGATAGAGTACTTGCCATTTTTTGTGAAGTGCCATATCCGGGGATCTTGTGATTGGATTGGAATTGACAGAATCGTTGCAGCTTCTTCTGCACGAAAAAGACTCTCCACCAAAGGTCGATTCCAATTGCTTCCATCAATCTGAAATAAATCAGAAACCATAACAACAGTAGAGGAGTCCGAGGGAGCTACCGTTGTTCGAAATGTTGGCGTTATTGGTAACCATTTGTCCAACCAAACATTGGTCTGATCGTCGCTTCTAATCTGCTTCCTGCAACCCAGATGAAGAACTTTCAATCCTTCCAATATGCTTTTCCATGTCCATGATAGCCGGTGACCTAAATTTGCATCCAACAGGCTCCGATTCAGATGATATTTAGCACGTAAAACTCTTGCTAGAAGAGAGTTCGGATCTGTGAGTAATTTCCAGGGCTGTTTACTTAGCATTGCTAAATTGAAGGCCTTTAAATCATGAAATCCAAGACCGCCATCGTTTTTGCTTTTAGACATTGAACTCCAAGAACACCAATGAATCTTCCGTCCGTTGTTACTATTGCTCCAGAAATCATTGCTGCACATGGATTGTATTTCGTGAAGGGTACTATCTGTAAGCAAAAAACATGACATGGCATAAGAGGGGATGACCTGAAGGACAGATTTAATCATGATTTCTTTGCCTGCTCTCTATAAAAGTTTGGAACTCCAGTTCTGAAATTTGCTCCACACTCTCTCCTTGATGCTTTGGAAGACCTCCTATTTACTTCGGCCAACTACAGAAGGCAAACCAAGGTACTTACCATGGCTGTTGCCTCTGGGATACCAAGAATGCTTGTAACAGAAAGCCTGACCGAATTTGGCACATTTGGACTGAATAGAACTCCCGGCTTGTCCAAGTTGATTTGTTGACCTGAAACACGTTTGTATAGAGTGATTGCCCACCGAAGGTAGCCTGCTTCATCATCAGTGGCATCACCAAATAATAAAGTGTCGTCACCAAAGAATAAATGAGACACCGAGAGAGCTTCACGAGTGACACCTATACCATGAATGCGTCTACAACTTTGCAAATCTTGTAATAAGCAAGATAACACTTCCAAGAAAATAATGAAGAGGTATGGCGAAAGAGGATCCCCTTGCCTAATACCTCTCTCAGGGGTAATATCACCAAATTGCTGGCCATTTAGGATAAAAGAGAAACGCACAGTTGAAACGCATTCATAAACCAAGTCAACAAATGGAACACTAAACCCTAGAGCAATGAGGACTGATTTTAAAAAGGATCATTCAACTCTATCAAAAGCTTTACTCGTATCAAGTTTTATAGACATTAAACCCTTAGAACCTTTTGTGAGAGTCTTCGTATGGTGGTGTGTTTCATAGGCAAGAAGAATGTTATCAGTGATAATACGACCCGGAATAAAGGCTGACTGAGATTCGGAAATTATTGAAGGAAGAATAGAAGTAACCTATTAGAAATTATTTTTGAACACAACTTATAAACGACATTACAAAGAGAAATCGAGCGGAACTGGGTGATTAGTTCTGGTTGGTTAACTTTTGGGATAAGGACAATGTGGGCATAATTCAAATGACGATCAAACAAACCAAGATTCAAAAAATTTAGGACAAAAGAAATAATATCAGAACCAACAATATTCCAAAATTTTTTGAAAAAAACAGGACTCATACCATCAGGGCCGGGAGATTTGAATGAAGACATTTCCTTTAGAGCTTTCACGTTCCGTGAAGTTTCGCATTAGACGGTCGTTCATATCCGATGTCACCCTTGGCCTTAGTCGACCCACTACCTGTTGAATTTCTGATTCCAGGGGTTGTGAAGATGAAAAGAGGCTGCCAAAGTAGTCAGTAATGATATTTTCAAGCTCCAAAGTGGACGAACACATATTCCCCGAACTGTCACGTAAACCTAAAATCGTATTAATGGATATCCGTTTACTTGCAAATGCGTGAAGAAACCTTGTGTTTCGGTCACCTTCTTGGTAACAGTGTTGTTTTGCCCGTTGTTTCCATTTGAGGTTTTCACGCTCCAGGAGCATGTCAAGTTCTCTTTCAAGATCTCCAAGTTGTAGCCTCGTTGGATCATCAATTTGTCCTCTTTGAATTGATAAAATCTGCCTCTTCAAAATTTCAATCCATTTCTGGAAATCAGATTGATGTCATTTGCTCCAATCTAACAATCCAATGTGGACTGTATCCAACTTATCCCCCAAAGAAGATACATCATTGCTCCAACAGTCATCAATCACTTTTGCACAATCTCCTAATCTGACCCAATGTGCTTCGAAACGAAAAGGTTTCTTCGGTCGAAGCCCTACATTGGAAAGATTCCCAGCTTTTAATTGAATATAAAGCATCATGTGATCTGAACAGTACGACGGAATGTGTATTACTTTGCTCCATAGAAAAAGCTCATATAAATTCGAGTTGCATGTCGATCGATCTAGCCTTGCTCTCTGAGTGTGGGGGTGATGAAGAAGACATTGCCAAGTGTATTTATAACCCTCAAAACCCATATCAATCAAATTAAGATTGTCCAATGCATCCTTCAAAAGAGAGATATGCCAGTTTGGATGAGGATGACTACCAACAAATTCATCTTGAGAAATTACCTCATTAAAGTCTCCAAAAAAAAACCAAGGTTTCTCCTCAGGATCGTACAATGAGCTATAGAAATTCCATGCATTCCGGCGAAGCGCCACATTCGGTTCTCCGTAGATCCCCGTAGCTCGAATCCATTTGCTTTGAATTTCAACATCAATATCAATATGATGATTCGAGTACGATCTCAAATTAACGTTGATGTCTTTCCGCCACAACATTGTCAGGACTCCCGAAGCTCTCTGAGATTCCACACCTACTCCAAACATACAAAATTTGTCCTTCAACTTCTGAAATTGACAATCATTACACTTTGTTTCACAAAGGAAAACAATAAGAGGGGATTTCTGCCGGATAACCTCCTCCAGCTCAAGGAATTTCCGAGGACTCCCCATTCCTCGGCAATTCCAACTGATGAGACTCATTGAGCTTAGCGGATCTGGGACGATAACCCAGACTCCGCCACACCGCCATCCGTAATAGTTTGAACTGAGTTTTGTTTCAGATTCGAGACAGTGATCGCCTTCGGTTTCTTGGATATAACCTCAACCTCCACAGATTGGAGATCACCATCAGCAATAGCATTAATCATTAACTTCTGTTTCATACGAGTGAGAGCAGGAGCGTCGTGACCAGTATTCTGAAGTACCTTTCATCGAACGGTGGAAAAATAACGCGCTGCTTTTCTGGCAGGCGTATCATATGTCATTGGAACAGGAACTAGAAAAGGGCTGAGGAGGCTAGAGTCACCAGATGGAATGGTGGTGGATGAAGTCGGCGTGGTGGGGGCTTGATTGGGGGCTAGGGTGTGTGAAGAAGGTGGATAATTAGGAGAGGCGGGAATAATCATAGAAACTGGAAGTGGATCAGAAGTCATAACTTCCTTTCCTTTGGATTTGGATGCATTGGATGCCATAGAAGTAAGCTGGGGTGGTAGTGAAGGGGATAAAGGAAGAGTAAGGTCATGGATGGGTTGTATTGGGAATCAAGAGAATCTTGAATGGGCTGGGAATCAGGTTGAAAGGAATGGTAATCAGGTTGAGGAATATGTTCCATCGAAATGTTTGGGTTCAAATCTTGAGGAGGGTTATTTAGGGGGGGGAGGGGATATCACCCTTAGGAGAGGATGGGAAAACTGGAAGTTTAGATGCTGAGTTTGGACGTGGCTGATTTGAGGGTTTAGAAGGGATAATTTCACGATTAAAAGCGGGATTAGTGTATCTGGAGGATGTGGGTCTAGGATTTGTGCTGGTTGAGGGTTTACTGCGATCAATAGTAATTCGGTGGGATTGCCTTTCACTCCAAGGAGCGACCTCTTCGTCAGAATCCTCAGGCACAAAGAAAGGATCGGGTTCAGTGGATGGCCACCTCGAAACAAACAGGTTCCAGTAACCGGTTGCTTTAAGCCAACAGCCATATTCCGATGGATTGGAAACTCTGCTAGAGTGTGGAGGTGTCGGGAAAGAACAACATGTTTCAACATGCCCAATAATACCACAGTTATAACACCATTCCGCTAACCTTTCGTATTTTAGAGGAAACTTAAGTTCATGACCATCATGCTCAATTTGAAGAACCCTCATCAAAGGCTTTTTGAGGCTGATGTTGACTTCGATTCGTAGAAACCGACCAATACAGTTACGATCGGCATCCCGAAAAACCTCCATGAATTAGCCAATACGGTTACCAACAAACTCAGCTAACTCCTCATTCATTAAGCCGATCGGGCAGTTGTGTAACTGAATCCACCAGGGACACATATCAAAATCTACCTAGAGATCATCAGAAGGCTTCAAAACAAGGACATGTTTTCTTCCCAACAGCCACGGTTCTCCATGCAAAACCCTAGCACGATCAATACGGTCATTGAATTTGATGTGAACCAGGTTCCAATGGCCTTACCACAAATCCATGCCTCATCGACCATATGTTTCGATAGTGAGAGGCAATAGAGTCACGGGAAACGATACGAGGGCAGTGAAGTTTCCCCAGGATGGTAAGAAAAGGATCAATCTGTGTAGTACTCAACGATCTTGTAGAGTGTCTAGTAGCTTCCCCGTCTCTCAAAGACAATCTACTGATGATATCCTCCAAATCGTCCGCCGTCGCCATGAAACTAACAAACAGAAACGATAACTGCCTTAGGCGAGAAGGGATATGAAAAACCGATAACGCTAACAACACTTGTAAGCAGGATCTGTAAAAACAATTGGAAAAAAAATGGAATTAGAAAACAGTTTGACTAAAAGAAAACTAAAATATTTTTAAAGAATTTGAAGAAAAGTTGAAGATCGTAAAAAGTGGATCTAGATTATTTAGGTAACCGTTTGAAGAAAACTTGGAGAATAATAGAAGATGGAAAACTTGGAGAAAAACGTGGGTACAAGGAATGACTGAATCAAGGTGTTGAGGGAACAGAATCATGAAAGACGGATTTGATGAACTGATCAATCTATGGAAGTTAATTTTATAAAGGACTCTAAGGTAAAACAGACTCTCAGAGAGAATCTCCCAAGGGGAAAAACTCTAGCACTATAGATCAACCCCAGAAAAGGATAGTTGCGCTACTCCATATCATTAAACTTTATGGGGGCTAAACCATTTATCTTCAATGGTCTGATAAATTTTTGGCTCATAGCAGGAAGGAGAAAGAGATAGCACAAATGTTATTGTTATTTAGTAAGGGTCTGTTCTCCTTCTCCCTTAAACCCTAAAAAAAAAAAAATCAATCTTACCCCATCTTTTTGCCATGGAAGAATGGAGGAAATAATTCTACAAATATTCTTTAGCCTTTTTATTGTGTTTTAATTTAGTTCAATAAACGGATTGTAGATTATTATTTACAATATAGCGGTAACATTTTTATCGATGTTTGCAGGTATAGCGGCAGCATCCTTGTTGATGTTTGTTAGTATGGCGGCGGTTTCATCGGTGATGTATGCAGATTCGGTGGCGACGGTTTCATTGAAGGTGTTCGTCGGTTTGGCAGGCATGGTCCAAGAAGATTTAGTCACAGTAGATCTAATTATTATTAGGTTTACGATTTGGGGGTTTCAACCGAAGGTTAGTGTTATATCCTTGACCGGATTAATAATCTGGCACGTGGTACAACCATTATTTTATGGGGTAGATCAGGATAGATTTATCCATGTAGCGAAAACACAACAATGACATTGTGACTGTTTGTAAGTTGTGTTTTTATGGTTGTATCTTGCTTTTATCAATCGCTACTAAACGATTTCTAACAAATTAATTTCTCAAAAAAAAAAGTAAGGGTATGTGTGATAAAGTCATTTAATGCTTAAAATTATTAGATTAAGCTGTTTTCTATTTCAACGTGTTTGATCAGTACAAAATATAAGCAATAAAAGGTAGTTTATTGCTTATTCCGTAATTATTTAATAAATTCAGTAATTCTAATTCAATATTAAGCATTAATTTTTATCAAACAGTCCCTAAATCTATATGTCGTGTCTAGCCTATAATATTTATACTTCAACTTAAGGGGGAGTGTTAGTAAATGTGGTAAGTCTAGTAGTATAGACATGTATGTATTGAATTGTACAATGTGTGGAATATACAGTATTCTTTATCAATTGTATCTTCTAAGCAGTGTCAAATTATCTTTTGTTAATACTTTTTATATTACCCATCCAATCATCGTACAACATTCATTAAAATTTAACATTTGTACTTACCAACTCTCGTGGTTCCAGTAATTGTGTAGGATGTTAGTCAGAATTTTGAAAAGTTAAATGGATATCGAAAAAAATAATGATACACATGGAGAAAAATTTACAAGAAGAAATAATAACTACTCAATTCTAAAATAAACGTCTCATTTTTTTTTATAGGTAATGTTACCTGTTGTAATGTTAACGTGATCAACACAAAAAGAAACGATCAAACTTATGAAATAATAAAACCCGGCTTTCCAAAAAAAAAAAAAAAAAGTAAAATCTTGCCACAATTGAAATTGGTTAATAATTTAAAGAATGCATCAATGCTTGATTGCTCAACCATACAAATAGATGCCAACTGTATGTAATTTAAAACATAAGGTACCGGAAGTACTTACAAAGTACAACTTTGAAGTTTGAATCTGCTTAATATTCTGCAAATATAAAAGAATATGGCTGACTACAAATTTATGTAATTCAGTGTGACAGCTAATAAACAAGCTGTGGTTTTCTGGATTTCGTGCTCAAATGAATCTGGAGTATCGTTTTCTGTGCCTTAAATAGATGAACAATCGTGGGAAGATTTCACTCCACCACGATTTTTAGCTTATTATTAATATTCTATCGTAGCTTCTAAATCAGTATCCCTTTCACCTAATTAATTCTCATGAGAAGTCACTAGCGTAGAGTCTTTTTTGTGATTTGGGGCCTAAAATTGATGGAGATTCATCATTTTTGTATTGATTGATTGTTGAGTGAAGTGATTAAAAATTCGTCCCTTTTCAAATCATGTATTGAATTCGAGTCTATTCTTAAGGAGTGTATTAGCCATATATTTGCTCAAAATTCCTTACACTAAGAAAAATATTCTCTTTGTCTTGATGTGTGACTCAAGTTTCACAAAATTGATTATTTTCATTATAATGAATTAGACTATTTTTTGAATTGTACAAAGTACTCCTTCCTTCTCAAAATTATTATCTCGTTTGCATTTTTAATTTTTGTACAATTTAAATTAAAAATGAAAATCCAAACTGAACAATAATTTCGGGACAGAGTATAATTATGCATCCGGGTGATTGGATTGCCCTTAGTATTTGTTTTTCTCCTCTGATCATATCCCCTAAAAGAAAATATTAATGGTAGAAAGGATAAATTAATCAAGCCAAACACGAAAATAATTTTTTTTATTTATATTAAATTTGATATAATAAATCAGATAATTATTTCGGAACGAAACCTATAAGAATGTGATGATTAGCTCGTTTAGAGTTGGGCCAATTGAAGCCAAATGAATGGATCCCAGCTGTTGAGTTTTGTCAATCTAGGAATGCATGCCAATCCCAAACCCCGATCCCATCAAAATCTATGATTATCTGAAAAAGTTTGAAAGCAGAGGGGGAGCAAAAGGTCCAGGCCTCCATGGGCATCCGTGAAAAAAAGGAGCAAGGAGTACGTACCGCAGAGGTACAGCTAGCTGCCACAATACATCACATTTTAATCAAAACAATGCTCGTGAATTCAATGCAGAAAACGGTACTTGAAGAAAGCTCCTCATGGAATCTACATAATTACGTGGAGTGTCTATGATGTAAAGACTAGAGGCATTTAGAAGTGAAGTGATTCCATCAACAAAGAAGGAAACTTTGTGAATCGACTGATGCATTTACTTTTGGATTTAATTTCGTGATTATAATACGTTACTTTTTTCTGTCTCAAAATTATTGTCCAAAAAATAAAAATTCAAACTGTTGGGACTTGGAGATTAAACTAATGAGCAGAGGAAGGGAATCTGAAGAACGGTGTAGTCTCAAGGTAGAGCAAATTTACAAAAAAAAATAAAATTGAAAAGGGACCCGGAAAAAAAAAAACAACAGTTTTTCTTGGACTATTGGCACCATTTGACGACTTTGTTTTTACTGTTTTTACTGGTGTCCATCCCCTTAGATGACAATGTCGTTGCCAAAAAGAAGCACCACCAACCCTTCCCTCCGCGCGTTCAGTTTTATTATCCGATGATACTTTGAGAAAATGGCCTCTTTTTCTTTTCCCTAATTAAACATATTTTAAAAATTATTCTCATAACATAATAATTTAATTAATACTCTATCAGTCTCAAAATAATTTTATTATTTGAATTTTATTTTAATACAATTTATATAAATTAAACAATCATTTTGAAATAAAAAAAATACACAAAATATTTTTATTTAGGGATAACTCCTCAACAGAGAAAGGAAAGATGACTAATTTGATGATCGACTAAAACATGCTATTAAATGTTGAGATATACTGAAATATGTTGATTTATTTTTTTATTTCACAAGCTATTCACGATTATACATGTAATTTATAGTCAGGTCAAACTGAATTAGTCGGGTCATAATTCCAGACACCGAATATGTAAAATACATAATAATTGTATTGGAACAGTAGCAGCAAATGTTGAAAACACATGTGGTTGTTCTGTCAATTTGTAATGTATTTTGGGGGGTAGGATTTAGGATAGCATTCAGGGCATCAATCAGCAAAAGGCAGCAGAGTGTACGGTCACAGTTTGACTATATTTGACCAAGCCACAATTGTTTGCTTTTGCTGTACCAAATTGCATCATCATCCATGAGAAACCACGTATACACACACACACACAGAGTACACCTACAACAGTGCAGTAGTTGTAGCAGTTCGTTTGTTGGTCCTATAAATAAATAAATAGCATGCTTCGCTTACGCTATTTCTTTTGTCCCTTCTCTGCTTTTAGTTTATCATTATCATGTCATTGAAATTATTATTTTTTCTCGTCCCCAAAACAAAACAAAACAAAAAAAAAATCTTTTTCTTGAAATAAAACATGAATTGTCTTTATTTCTAGTCCAAAAAAAAAAAAAAACAATTAATTGAGCCTTGGGAATTTAGTTTTTTTTTTTAAGACAAGATAGTAATAGATAAATTACTTTTCGGGAATTGAAGAGTAAAGTTAAAAATAATACTCCTAACACATGTGGCATATGCATATTAGATTCTCAAAAGTTTTCTCCTTTACTGCGTTTTTTTTTTCTCGCAAAATATGACCGCATTTGTATTCATTACGGGTGCAGAGTCAAAAGGAGTAGTAGGTTAATCCACTTTATTACACTTCGATTCATTTTCAGTTATTAGCGTGCTATTTGACACTTACCATTGAAGTGAACGAACACCTAAACTTCACATCAATTTGAGTAAGACCTGAGGATTTTTTATATATAAAAAAATAAAAATAAAAATAAAAATAAAAATTTGTTGTTTGAAGATCACAGACTTACTGGTGGTTGTTTGAGTTGAATGTGGGAATCAGAGTAGTAAAAATTATGCATTAGGAAGATGCCGTTGGAATTAAGCATACGATAATACTAGTCAATAAATAGTTATGAAGAGGAAGACTCGCCGGCGGTTGAGTCAGATTGCAACGGCAAAACCTGCAAAAACATAAATGAGGGTTTTCAAAGAATTTGACTGCAATTAATAAGTCTCCAATTAGCCGTTGGTTGGCCAGTCTCATTTTACTTGACAAAATCACTCTACTTATTCATCAATTTTCAACTATACCTTTCTTTGGATTTTTTTACTTTTAGAAAGTTGCATTTTGGTCCATCAAATTCTAAGATTTAGGTAATCAATCACCAGGGACAACCTATGAGAGTTGGTCCAATGTTGGAATAGTTACAAGTTGAAACAAACCTCATTCCTCTTAGGGAATGGTCCGATCAAGTCATATGGTGAGGAAGTTTTTTTTTTTCGTGGATACCCAAGTACATGCATTAGGGCAACCTTTTTATTGCAATTTGCATACTACTGCAGTAGAGGACCTAGAGGTACTTATTATTGTATTTTATCAATAGTTTTTTTTTTTTTTTAATTTCTTGTTTTGGTATATTTGTTTGGGTATTCCTTGTTTTAGTTGTCAGAGGTGTTGTCTCAATCTGGCTAATTAAACTTTCTCAATTTCTGTACCCGGATCATGAACTTGTTTGTTCCTTTGAAGGTTGAGAAGCCGCGTAAGCCAGATTGCAATATTTCGATCATTGGATTCTGTAATTCAATCTTTAAATTGTACTACTGAAGAGTATAGGTGATTCAACTTTCTTTTATTTCTTTGTACAAAAAAAAAAAAAACTTCTTTTAATTTTATTTTAATATGATTATTGCTTTTGACGAAAAAAAGGAAAATTTCAGCGTAGCTATATAAAAATAAAATTATTACTTCATTTCCATAGAAAAAATGAAAATCCAAACAAAATAATCATTTTGCATATATAGAAAAGAAATGCCTGGTCCAAAAATTTGGGTCCAACAGTCGAATAATTTCCAAAGCCCACCAGTTTGTGAGACTCTAATCTTGGGCCAACTAAAAGTTGCGACTTGTCGAGGTCCTCAAGGAGCATATTAGGGGGTGACTTTTGCAACTTGAGAAACCCCTAATATATATATATATATATATATATATATATATTTATATATTTGCTTAAACTAGTTTTAACTCCACGCCTTACACGGATGACGTATCATGTTAAATGCGAATGTAAAATGCTAAAATTATTTAGGTGAATAGAGAGTATTATGAGTTAGAACGAAATATTATGATACATCTTTTTGGTATTAATATCTCTACTATTTATTGTAAGAAAATATAAATAATTTTTCAAAAAAAATATTAAATCTTTTCCACTTTAAATAAGTTCTATATGTGCAAAAATTTACCATCAGCTCTCTCAATCATGATATGAGGCCAATAAGTGAACTCTAAGCTGGGTTACGGATATTATAATTCTTGGAATTACTAAGAATTAGTGGTGTAAAAGTGATTCAAGATTCAAAGGAATATATGCAGAAAATTACGGTGTTTATATATTAAGATTAGGTAATGTTCCACTTGCATCGTGTTAATACCATAGATAATTTTATATATATATATATATATATATATATATATATATATATACTAGTGATGTCTGGTCGCGCAATGCGCGACCCTGGCCCAATATATGTATAGATCTTAGAAATGTTTGTATCTGGAAAAAAAATATTTTCTATTTGGTCCGATATATTTTAGAAATATTTGAAAAATTTTAGAAATGTTTTATAAGTGTGATGTTTGTATTTGGCATAAAAATAAATTGTATTTGGCCCGTTACGTTTTAGAAATGTTTGAAGATTTTATAAATGTTTCATAAGTGTTGCTTCTTAAATATAAATAAACTTGATCAAATATATGTCTTGAAGTAAATGCTAGAAAAAATATAAAAACATCCTAATAAGTTTAAATATTAGTAAGATAATTTATTGATGTTCTCCATTGGTTGTGCCAAATCAACACTTAGTTTTGGAGATTTATAATAGCTCTATAGTTAGCTTCCTCCAAAGGGTATACGCTTAATTGTTGGAACTATTTCTTCCAAAAGTTTATAGGTAGTAAAATATCAAAAATATGATTTTGATACTGGTTAATTGTTGAAACTGGTTGATCACAAATATGAGAATGAAAATTATGTAAATTTTCATAGGTTTCAAGATATAGCAAAAAAGAACTCACCTCACCATGGCAAAACAAAAAGAAAAAGTGAAAGATAGCCCATTAAAATTTGAGAATTTTTATTTTTTTTTTCTGTAGGTAAAAATGATGTATAAAAACACAAATAAACGTAGAAACATCATTCCTTCCCTCTCCACCTCAAATTCATAAAAGGATTCCCCATAAATTAGTTAAAAGAAGCGACCTGAACTATTAATATGATGAGGAACTAAAAAAAGTCCAAAAACTAAATCCAAAAAAGTAATTGAAACCCCGAACACACAAAAAAAAAACGTGCTTCATTTGCAAATAAAATAATAATAATAATAATAATAATAATAATAATAATAATAATAATAATAATAATAATAATTGGTCAATTGGGAGTATGAAACAAAATCAAAAATAATTAGACAAAGAAAAAACACACTTCATAACTGGCCATATACGAAAAAAAAACCTGAGACTCCATAATTAAAAAAAGAAAACCACTCTAATTGAATGAAACTTAAAAAACAAATTTAAAAAACCACACTTTGTAACAAAAACCCAATCAATCAATTCAATCCAAACATAACTAAAATCATACAAAAATTCTAAACTAACTAACCAAATAAGAAATCACATCATACTACCTGACAATGGCTCCGGTAACTGTAACGGATTGACGCATAAAAATAATAGTAATAACACTATTCTTGAACGGGAAAATAAAAAATAATAAAAGTCAAACCAATAATCTGTGGAAATAAAATCATTTAAATTTTAATATCTGTAATGACACCACCAGAACGGCCGAAGCAAGATCAATGAGAATTTTTTTTTCCTTTGTGTTTATATAGAGAGGTAAAGAGAATATTTTTTGAAGTTAAAATTTTATCCGATTAGGATGTAGTTGATCATTACTAATGAAAAGATTGAACATGCTAATAGGAAATGAGTATATTTCACCACATATTCTCAATTGATGATTGATGAGGAATTTATTTATTTTTTAATTGTGGAGGAGGGATTGATTAAGAAGTCGATTGTCATAGCGCTGGGGATGAGGATTTGGGTTTTTTATGAACCCGTAATTTTTTTTTGTTTGTTTTGACAAAAATAGGAGGTGGAAATAAATTTGGACTGCATTTGCCTTTTAAGTTTAGGAGATGTGGAAATAAAAATTTATTTTAAAAATATGATATGGAAATGCCACATGGCAAATGGTGGTGATTTCTCTTAAGTGTGATTTTTGTTTCTAATATAGTAAGATATAAAATTAACGGAAAAACATTACAAAAGGGAGTTCTCTCTATTTAAAATAACTGTTTTGATAGTGTATATAGAATATAAATTTGAACTTCATTTGAACAAGAAACTCATACTCACTCGATCTCAAAATGTGATTGTCCAGTTTAGGTTTTCAGTTCTGGATTGAGTTTTACTGAAAATGAATCTAAACTGGACAATTATTTTGAGAATTAAGTTTTCTTTTAAGTTACTCAATGGGTGCTTCTCAGGGAAACATCGTTCATGGAGGAAGGGGAACCTTAAATTCCTGAAACTCTACTTTTTGGACTTGAGTGGGTGTCTTCTTCCGACGATAATGATCATCTTCAATGTTTTTGAAGGTGGAATTCGTCGGATGTAAGAACTTAAAAGAGATTCCTTCTTGTTTGAAGAATTCTTACACCCTTACTACCATTGTTGTCTCTATTTCTTCACCAACCTTAGTAGAAATGGTCAAACGTGTTAACTGTTAAGGAAGAACAAGTGAAGATCCTTTCTTCGAGCTACAAATTCGGTAACCTTAACGTCAATCCTAAATAATTCTCTTGCATTGATTTTTTGGTTTTTTCCCCCCATTATGTTGTCTGATTGTTCAAAGGGAACTGGTACTGTTTCTTTATCAATTTATTGTATGTTGCAACTCTTTCCAATTCACCGTCAATTCTTCTACACATATTGATCCTTCTATTTCGTTAAATTAAAAAGATCACGTAATCACAATAATATGTAAATAAATGAAAATGTTGACAGCCAGTTCTTTTCAATCAATTGCCAATATGAATCAAATTGAGATCAAGTTGAACCAAGACCGGGAGGCAGGAATCAGTTGAGGAATAGGAAATTAAGAAGGCCATCTTCATGCCAGCATCGTTACGGGAAATTCAAGTACTACTACTGTATTAATCTTTACCAAAATGTCAATTTTCTTGGCAATCCAATCTTCAAAATCAAAATAATTGCCAAAAAATGGACTTTAGAGTTCGGAGGCTGAGGTTTGGTTCTTATTGCACGGATTTGAAATTTTATTGCATCTCATGAAATTTTCGTAAAAGTTTAGGATTGCGATTTGATCATGGCGACCACCTTAGCCCAAGATGGCCTGGCCAAGATATCATCAACCCAGGCTTTAACATGAGGACGAGCTTCAAACAATGCCCTGACCTTTGTACCCATCAAATAATTGACGTTAGGCAAATGGAAAAGATCCACCATGGTGAAGCTGTCGCCACCTAAGTACTTGGATTCCGACAATCGATCCTCGTACACGTCAAGAACTTTACCCAATTTTGCCTCCTTCTCCTCCACCACGGCTTCGTCGGTCGGCAGGCCCATCATCGGCGCTATACATAGATGGAATGTGAGCATTATGGCCGCCGGATCAAATTGTAGAGATTCGGCTTCTAACCATGAATACACCGGACCCATCTTCTTCGGATCATCGGAAGCCAGTGGTTTTTTGTCTTTGTATGCTTGTTCAATATACTTCACAATTGCCCTTGAATCTGAATATATATACAATGAATTCACCCACCACATGAATATTACTCCTTGCGCTTCTTATTATAAGACATTTTGATTTGTTTTAACTTTCATTTAATATGTTATTTCAGTTAAAAATAAAATTTTAAAAATATTTTATAATAATTAGAAGAACACTGTAAATATAAATGTATAATTTAAAGATTTTAATTTTCAATTAGAAGAACACTAAATGAAATTTAGTACAAATTATATTACCTAATAATAAGGACCAGAAGGAGTATTTTGGAACGAAACTAATTTAGAATTTTGCACATAATTCAAATCAAGATCAATTAAATCCTACCAAAGAGCGTGAGGTCACCATCTTCCATTGCTGGAACAACACCAAATGGCTACAAAATTAAAGGATGATGGTTAATTGCGGAAAAAATAATTTTACTGGGTCGATTAATTAAACTGAGACTCATGATTGATCAGAAAGGTGCAAGTGAACTTACATTAAGAGAGAGGAAGGGCTCCTTGTTGTGTTCTCCAGCAGCCATGTTAAGTTGGACGAGCTCAAATTCGAGCTCTTTTTCGGACAAGCAAGCCAACACACGTTGTGTTGCAGGGGTGATCACATGTCCATAAACGTTAAGTCCCATGTTTTTTTTTTCTTGTGTACGGCTGAAGTGACAAACAACTGATGACCACAATTAGATAGATACAAGCTATATATATAGATATATAGATAGAGGAATATTAGAGAGTGGAGGGTACATGTTGAAACATGCATGGAACTGTACTTGTACACTTTTTATAATAGAACATGACGGAGAGGAATAACGATTCGAAAACTGTCAACATTAAACATTATTTGTACATATATTTCTAGGAAATTGTATCATTTCCGTTTCACAAAAATAATCCACATTGAGTTTTTAAATTTATTCTAAAAACAATACAAAACTCAAAACTCAATGTGTTATTTTTGTGGGACGGAGGGAGTAGAATTTCGAAAGGCAAGCAAATTGCCCTCTGGATCTGTAGAAAGTTTTCTAAAAGTATGTTGTTGTTTTAATTTCTTAATAGAGAAACAAATTTTACAACAAATTTCTTAATCTGTATATTATTAAATAACTCCGCCATTAGATACTGTCCAATAATTTTAACATCACATTAAAATAATAACATGCTCTTACAATGTCAGAGTATAATACGACATGCATCATGCCTCTTTTAGTATAACAAAAAAAAACATCGAAAAAAATGTAAGTGATCGAGAATTGACCATTGCACATATTTGATAACAACTTCATAGGATATAGTCATGAATTATGATGTTCTTAATTTCCAAGTTCCAAGCGGCTTACCATTCCAAGTTGATGAAATCAAATCGTATACTCCTATTTGATAACAAATTCACCGGATGTAGTCATGAAGCATGATGTTCTTAATTCCCAACTTCCAAGCAGCTTACCATCTTAGACCAAGTTGATGAAATCAAATCGCATAGCTTACGGCCTTTCCCATGAGTCTTCAAGTGTTGCCACGTGATATTAGTTGTTTCTTCCGTTCTCAAATAACTGGCCAATATGAACCTACACTAGGTGTTGTGAGAATTTTTTTTTCCTCAACAACCTTCTTAATCAAATAAGTTCCCAAAAACTGAAATCTAGTCCTTTCAATGACTTTTCGCTTGCCACATTAACCATTGTGCGTTCCTCTCTCTTTTTGATTTTTTTTTCCCCCCTTTTCTTCTTTTCTCCCTTGCGACTTCTGGTAAGCTGGTTGATAATAATCAGTAGAATAATAGTGTTCAATAATTGTCCACACCAAGAAAATGGAAAATTAGTGGAAGTTTTCTTTGGGAGTTTGCATTCAAAATTTTCCGACAGCCACTACTAGTCTACTAGTAAGCGTCACTGGCATCATCACCTCTGTGGAAAGAATTTGTTTTTAACTAGCATTATAGGAGTGCTAATAACCCAAACCGTAGAATGATATCAAATACCAGAAAAAAAAAGAGAAAAGGCCACATTATTTTTTTTTCTTCCAATTACTCAATTAGCTCCAATTACTCAATTTAGCGCAGGATATTCACCAAATATATATATATATATATATATATATATTTATTTATCCAACTTGAAACGAAAATACACCAAGCCCGCTCCCCCAGGAAAATATGACCCCCCCCCCAAAAGTACCACATCAAATCACCTATCAAGGTAACAAACACTACAAATGCAACAATAATACCACATAGTATGGGAATCCTCTATACTCAATTTAATTAGTTTTTGAGTGAGTAAAATTAGTGTTTGTGCGAAAAAAACCTTCAACCGTGAAAAAGAAAAGAAGGGTAAAAGTCTCGCAAATATAAAATATTCAGACGATTGTGAATGAGTTCGAAAACAACCTTCAGACTTGGAATCGAGAATTTACGGTTTACTTTGGTTTGTAAAAAATAAAAAAAAGAAAGAGATAGTGGAACAAACCAAGTGACGTTCAATTTATATAAAAAAGTGAAAAGAAGACCTAGCGCCGACAGGGAACTCCCAAGTCGATGACACGCTATTACAAAAACTCGGATATTAGCGCCGACTAGATGTAACCGATGACACGCTATGACTCGGACCAGAGACGCTAGCGCCGACACGGAAGTCCATATCGATGGCACACTATTACAGAGATATAAAATTCACTGAAGTAGAATCCATGAACGACTACCTATTTCTATGAAGGAAAAACAGGCAAACACTTATAGTGTGCTAGGGTTTACATCAGAAAAGACATAATAAAAGACTTGAATGAAAAGGGCTGAAAAGATAAAGAAGCTATATCGAAAAGACATAATGAAAGGAATAGAACTGAAAAGAACTGAAAAGAAAGAAAAGATAAAAGAGGCGTCGGAGGTCTTGTGTTATTGATGTGATTGTGGGATGATTATGACGTTACGCGGCTACCTTCTTATATAGAGAGGATTAGGACGCAACTTTCTTGGAGAGAAAGGTAGGTCGGCCGCTTCTTGATTCCTTGGAGGAAAAGACTTCAACCCGGAGTAGACTTCTTGTCACTTTCCCATATTAAACTAAATCCGACTGTGAATGAAATTAGCTATCAAATAAAACACCTCAATTATAGGAAACATCCCATAATAACTCATGTCGGCGGTTGATCATGTTCACACTCCCGGGTTCCTCTGACTTCCGACTTGGGCGACTTCCGACTTAGACGCACCACCGATTTCCGAAACTTCTTATTTGCGGGCCGGTTCATATCACTTGTTGGGCCGACACCATTGACAAAATTGGAATCAACAATTAGCAAAAGAGTTGAAGATAGTGGTAGTTTGGGTTTTAATAGGGATAATAAAGAGAATTATAACATATGGTGGGGCGAAGGAGGAGAAAAGAAAGAGGAAGATGAATTTTCTCAACTTCAGAAATTGGACGATTTTCTCTTGTATATATGAACAAAATTAACCACACAGATATTTTAAAAGTTAGTCAAAAAAAAAAAAATCGCCAACAAAGGAGTGGCCAAGTATGTTGGACTTTGGCATCAATTCTGACAGACTGCTCCTGCTAACAACACTTTTAAGTGTTGAGTTGTGCAAGTTTGCAGTAAGAGGCTTCAATTTGGCTTATTTAGGGACATAGTTTCGTAGAAGTTATTTGTTGAGCAGGTTTGCAGGAGACTTTTCAAAAACTAAAGGGCTTGTTTGCCCAACACTTATTTTGTATTTTTGTCTTATTTTACCTCTTAAAACACATCTCAAACAAAATCCCAATACAATCCAAACAACTTTTTAGTTTACCTTTTAAAAAATATTTCAAAAATTATTTTAACACAATTTTCATCCACCACTATTGGACTACCTCCACCACCACCCGCCGCCACCGGACCGCCCACCGCCGCCGCCGGCCGTACTCCGGCCAAATTCCGGCGAGTTGGCCGAAATCCGGTCGGCCGGTCGCCATCCGGCGGCGGCGGCGCGTTGGAGGTGATCTGGTGGTGGTCTAAAAATATTATTAATTTATTTAAAATATCACCCAAATAACTTTTTAAATTTTATCTCAAACCATATTTAAATCACATCTCAAACCTAAATCAAAAACCAAAACAAAAACTAAAATAAAATGTTAGCCAAACAAGCCCAAAATTTTAATTTGGCTTATTTAGTGACATAGTTTCGTTGATGAAGTTATTTTTTTTTAAAAGAAAATAAAAAAATTAGTGTTGTGATTTGACCAAGTAGTTGACCGAAAATTTAGAGATACAGTATTCTCTCAAAGTTCCAGGATAAGCTTGTTTTGTTCATGGTTTATTTATTATTTTAATTCAATAAATAGAACTTTTATATGAGAAAAAAAGAGAGTAAGATAAATAAGTACGAAGGTAGTGATATTGTTGAAGAAAATCATCGTATCAATTTTTTTAAAGGGAATGTTACATTTTTTATTTTATTGGTTAACAAAATATTACTTCATCTGTCTCGAAATAATTATCTAATTATAATCTTTATTTTTAGTATAAATTATACTAAACGTGACACCTTAAGTGTTGAGTTGTGTATGTTTGCAGTTTACACTGGCCAGGAGACCTTAAAAAAAAAAAAATTCAATTTGGTTTATTTATGGACATAGTTTCCAAGATGAAGTTATTTTAAAAAGAAAATTCGTGTTGTGATGTGACCAAGTAGTTGACGAAAAGTTAAATTCTCTCGTAGTTCCAGGATAAGATTGTTTTGTTCATGGTTTATTTATTATTTTAATTTGAATTCAATAAATAGAACTCTTATTTGAGAAAAAAAAGAGTAAGATAAATAATTAAGAACGTAGTGACATTGTAGAACACATCATCATATCAATTTTTTTTTACAGCAAATGTTACATTTTTATTTTATTGGTTAACAAAATGTTATTTTTTCTGTCTCAAAATAATTGTTTAATTATAATTTTTATTTTTAGTATAAATTATACTAAAAGTGAATTTTCAAGCAGGACGATCATTTTAAGTAAGAAAGAGGGAGTACATATTTTCGGCGTTTCAAATTTCACACTTTGTAAGTTTATTCACATGGATGCGACCAACATACTACACCACTAGGAATATATTGGGTGCAACTACTGTATTAAGTAAGATTGTGCACCAGACAAAATAAATAAGAAAAAATAATAATTTTGAAAGAAAATTAATAAATATTACAGAAGTTTTAACGACAAAATAAGGGGTGATAATATTGATCAACTAAAAATAAGGATACCACGGTTGTACCGTGTATCTTTTTAATACACTGGATTGCAAATTCTCAATCCAATCACTTACAAGTTTGATGACAATCCGAATCCAAAAATTATAGATACCAAATTTATAGTACTTCCAACTTGAAGGTTCTTATAGTTGGATTTTCTTTCTTCTTTTTTCTTTGACAGAAAATATTAATTTTATTACTCGAAATAAGCAATTGTTGCAACCATTACATCTGTTGGGAAGTTTCATACCAAACCTTGTCGTCCCTATGATTCAAAGCTTTTTTAGAAACGAAATGAGCTGGATAATTACATATCCTAGGTACATATCCTAAACCCCTTTCTAATATTTTCAATATCTTCAACTCTATGTTCCGAAAATAGTTCACAATGTGTTATCAAATTTATACTAATAAAAATAATATAAATTTCAATATTTAATGTGTATTATTTTTCCTGAGAGAGTGAGTATTATGTGACATTGATCGTATAACTCTCAATAATACCATATGTTATC